CTGGACAAGCAAAAGCAAGCCAATGACAAGATTGCAGCTAGCACCAGGGCCTTGCAGCAAGGACAAGCTGGAAATGTGAGTTGGCCAGGTTCTTTTTTCTTTCTTGTGTCAACTCCTTTCCTCTGCAATATGCTCAATGAAATCCAAGTGTATGGATCCTGTAGCTGTGCTAGGTACTGTGCCAGGTACTGTGCCAGGTACTGTGCCAGGTACATGTACTGTGCATCCTCCTAGCTGAGAACATTGGCCTGTGCTCTGATACCCACTGAGAACATTGGCCTGTGCTCTGATGCCCACTGTGTGCATTGGCCTGTGTTCTTATGCCCACTGTGAGTAGTGGGCTGTGCTCTGATACTCGCTGTGAGCATTGGCCTGTGCTCTGATACCCACTGTGTGCATTGGCCTGTGCTCTGATGCCCACTGTGAGCATTGGCCTGTGCTCTGATACTCGCTGTGAGCATTGGCCTGTGCTCTGATACCCTGTGCTCTGATGTTCACTGTGAGCATTGGGCTGTGCTCTACAAGGTTGAACCACACAAATCATGCTACCAGATGCAGGGGCGTTGGACACGGTACGGTCACTACAGTATTGACCGTACCACTTTTTGCCCCAGATAGATACCCTGTGAATCAATAAAATACACTGATCTGGGATCTAAATTTCCAAAAAATGTTCGGCTCGGCACCCCTCCCCCACAACTAACTTGTGCTTCAGATGGCTGACCGTACCACACTAATTACCTTCCGACGTTGCCCCTGACATCTAGTGCCAATAACCAGGTAGTCCCTGTTTGCAACGATGGTTCCTTTCCGCTCAAGTATCCCATTGGACCGGATCAGCTGAAATCCCTGTGCTACAGCCCTGCTAGCTATGTACACTACAGGACAGTGCTACTGTGCCATGGCTGGTGCATGTCATTCATGGTCGTAGCATGCATGCTGAACCTAGGTCGAAATTTGAGGGGGGGTGCACATGCCCCCCCCCCCCCTCCATGCCCCATGCGAGCTACGCACCTGGCCCTGGTTGGTCAATTCTTGCTCAGCTCTTATTATAATGAATTAATGTGCTGCTCAGCTGTCACTTACAGTCTCAACAACGCACCACAGCTATGTGGCACTGCTGGCTTGCTTCTCACTCATCACTACTTACTGTACTTACCACACAACTACTTAGTGGCTGGACCTACTTTTGCTGCTCAGTTGCGTTACGTATGAAAGTGTTTAAAAGCTGCTCCTCTTGTAGCACCCAATTACTCTGCAATCCTACTGATTGCCCCCTATACATGTACATCATAGCAAGAGTACATAACCCCCCAGAGTGTGCAACGCCTGATCCAGCTCTGCATAGGGTCTTGGTCGAGCGGAATCGGATCTTTGCGTCATAATACCGTACACATCTGAGGGGAACCCGGGGAGTCACGGGTACTCTTGGATCAAAAACAATGGTGCCCTGCCTCGAGACCGGCCTTGCGCTGGTGTGGAGTGTACGCATGACATCAGAAGATCCGATTCCGCTCGGCCAAGACCCTATGCAGAGCTGGATCGGCGTTGCACACTCTGGGGGGGGGGGGGGGGGGGGGGGGGGGGTTATGTACTCTTGATCATAGTAGTTTGTCCTTGCCGTGGAGTTTTTGAGTGTGTTTTGAGCTGGTGTGATCCTACCCCTGGTTCCGTCCCTGGCTCCCTGATTGGTTCTATCCCAGGTTCCATCCCTGGTCCTATCCCTGGTTTCGTCCCTGGCTCCGTCCCTGGCTCCCTGATTGGCTCTATCCCTGGTTCCATCCTTGGTCCTATCCCTGGCTTCATCTCTGGTTCTATCCCTCGTTGCATCTCTGGTTCTATCCCTGGCTCCATCACTGGTTCTATCCCTGGTTTCATTCCTGGTTTCATCCCTGGTTCCATTCCTGGCTCCATGCCAGGCTTCGCTCGCTTGAAAATACGTTAAAATATGTCAAGTTGAACACTCTGAAAAGGCCTGAGGACCACTGAATCTAGGGCCAAGGGATGTCATTTCCAGTTAAATGAGACTGAATCAGGAGACTGGCTGTACACGGGGAAGCCATGTACTGTTGTATGAGCTAACGTCCAGAGACTCGAGTGCTGACACATGCTAGGATATGCAAGCCCTGGGTTTGCCAGTATTTGGTGTGAGTACGCACTTGTTTGCACTGGGAATGCTGTCCATTTCGCGTCTGCTGCTTACCCGTGCCTGTGCCTGTGTTTGTTTGGCCTTGTGTAGATGAATCATGCGCAATCATTACAGCGCCGCTTCCACCACCAACAGCAGCAGCAGCAGCAACAGCAACAGCAGCTTCAAGCTCAGCAGAATGCAGTAGCGGCAGCAGCAGCAGCCGCAACTGGTGCCACTGCTGGTGCCGTTGGTCAAGGTCAGCAGCTGCAGGGCCCACAACAGCTTACAGCAGCACAGGTGCCTGGTAGCTTGACGCTGTCAAATGTCAGTGGTGCAGCTAAGGGAGTTACACCTTCTGGTAAGTCTCAACTCTGTCACATACCTGTGTGTTTGTGTGTGGGTGTGTGGGTGTGTGGGTGTGTACATGCTTGTGTATGTGTGTATGGGTGCATTACGGGACCGAGAAGGGGGCGGCAGCACATGCAGTTATGTAACTGACCAAGAGTACACTTGGGACCGCGGGTGCGGCCAACACTCTGGAAAACACGCTGCTTGGCAAGCTGCTGCTTTGGGTGCAACTCTCTGGCTTGTTAGTTTGCAATGTTCGCTCTCGTAGCTTGTCGCAGCATGTCATGTCATGTGAAACTCTACTGTCATGACTGTGCTGTTGAAAGAGACTGTGCAGACATGTGTACACACACACACACACACACACACACACACACACACACACACACACACACACACACACACACTCTGTGATGGGGTTATGTACTTGTTGATGGCAGGTCATGTATGTTCATCTATACCAAGTCTTCTGCAATAGGCAAAAATCTGCACACACCACATTGTGTGCAGCCAGTATTGTATTTTTTCTCGTATGAGGATTGCGTGGAGCATAAAACTTCTAGCACAGCCTTCTAGCACAGCCCGCTGTTGTTGTGCGAGCTGTGTGTGAGCTGTGTATTTTGCTTACTATCTGTAGAGCCCATGTGCTTTGCTGTTACTAAGCTTTGTCTGAAGGAAGTGTGTTGAATGTTTTTTGCCGTATGTTTTGTGCCTGTGCGTCTGTGTGTGTGTGTGTGTGTGTGTGTGTGTGTGTGTGTGTGTGTGTGTGTGTGTGTGTGCGTGTGTGTGTGTGTGCGTGTGTGCATGTGTGCATGTGTGTGTGTGCATGTGTGTGTGTGTGTGCATGTGTGTGCGTGTGTGCATGTGGGTGTGGGTGTGCGTGTGTTTGCTGTTCACACACACAGGTCTAAGCACACTGGTAAGCCCCGCCCTGTCAGCTGGCAGTATTGCTCAGATTCGTCTGCCAGGCAATGTAGTGTCTTTGCCCAGCTCCACCGCAGCTAGCGTTTCCGGAGCTGCATCAGCTGCTGTAGCAGCCCTGTCCAATGCCATTGTCACGCAAAGCAGTATGCAGCAGCAGCAGCAGCAGCAGCAGCAACATCAGCAACAACAGCACCAGTCAGCCAATAACAGCATGTCCGTACAGAACGTAGCGCTTGCCAACGCACAGCAAGCAGCTGCCGCCAGTTCGCAACTCTCACAGATGCATGCTGCTGTGGCTGCTGCAGCTGGCCAGCCTGGTAACGTGGCAGCAGCAGCTGCTGTAGCCGCCGGCCTAGTCAATCCCCAAGCACTGGCTAGAGCTAATCTTGCCGGTCTGGACATCGATCCGAAAACCAGGAAAGTGTACGAAGCACGTCGACTGGCGGCTATGGTAAGCTCAGCAGCACACGTACATGTGACTGTACAGTATCTATCTAGTGTGCACAAGTAGATTGCAGTGTGAGTATATGCCACTGCTGGATCCAGTGGGAGAGGGGGGGGGGGGGGGGCAGGGATCTCCAGTCCAGTGGGGGGGGGGGGGGGGGGGGGCAGGGATCTCCAGGCCACTTTTCGAATATCCGACTAGGGTTTGCTGTGGGAATAGCTGGAATCGTCTTCTCTCGATCGCTTGCACACCCAGGGACAGGTTTTGTGTGACTTGCGGAATACTGGGGTATGAACTGGCCCAGGGAGCAAACTTGATTCACACGATGGCATTTCATTGAGCAGGACTGTGCAGTACCACAGTGCATGATTCCATGTGTTTAAGTGATGCAGACTAACATAGCCACCCTTCTTTCATTTCAAACTGGGTTCAGCGCGGCACAGACCAATTCTCAGAGGCTCTGCATCATCGTTACCCGTAGATTTTACTCTTGATTATAGCGTAACTTGTAGTTTCTTGGTCCTTTTTTCTTTACTATAAATTTACCCTTGGCTCTCCATCCGAATCCAAACTGCTATTATAAGGCCAAAACAAATAATGACCTTGTTTCCGGTCGCCCGACCGGGCCACTTTTTCCCAAATTCTGAAACTTTTTTTTGGTCCCAAATGTATACAAACGGTGGCAATGCCACGTGTGCAAGTGCACTCAACGAGTCATAACTCAGTCAAATCTCAACCCACAATCGAAACACCTACAAGGTAGCAGAGATTCTCAGCTGTCGGCTCGAAAACCTCCGGGGTCGATACGAGCTAGAATAACGGAGCTGGAAAGACTCGAACTGTTTGCTTGATTTCTCAGTATGTACGAAAACAGGAATACACCACGTGCTGTACAAGAACAGTGAGTCAGTCAACTTTGACATTGATCCTTGCCATGATATATGTACAATTTACATGTGTAGGTGATCTTGTCCATCAATACCACAAGTTGGCACAACGATTGAGGAACCAAAAAAAAGGTATCCAAAAAAAGTTTCATTCCGGCCGACCGAGTCTCCTTTTTGAGGGGTTGCCGACCGGAAACAAGCCTATTTTTTGTTTTGGCCTAAGTATAGGGTTTTTTTTTACATACAAAACTGGCATAGCTGAGGTGATAACTCGGGAAGAGGAAAGTGTGAAGTACTGTTGACACGCATGGGACATGCATGCAACGTCAGAAAATTGGCGCGGAAAATCAATCACTGCGACTATCCATGCAGAAATAATGTGCCAGAATTAGTATACTGGGTAGCTAGTTAGAGTCTGTATATTGCATATTGCACTTGTCCGAGCGCCATGAAGGCCTGCAAACTCACCTCACAACGAGTTTGCAGGCCTTCATGGCGCTCGGACAAGTGCAATCTGCAATATACAGACTCTCACTACTAGTGGCTACCCAGTATACTAATTCTGGCACATTATTTCTGCATTGAGGGTCGTAGTGATTGATTTTCCGCGCCAATTGTCTGACCCTGCATGCATGTCCCATGCGCGTCAACAGTACTTCACACTTTCCTTTCCCCCGAGTTATCACCTCAGCTATGCCAGTTTTGTATGTAAAAAACCCTATAATAATAGCAGTCTTCTCTTATTTTAATCATTCAACATCTACCTTCACTGATGAGCTATGTATTAGCGAAACGGCTGTCTGGAGGAATAAATCAACATCGTCTACGGAAGTGTCCTCGCAGTGGTGATGGTTGTGTGCAGGAGGGTCTAGTCAGCTGAGAGTGCAGTGTAGTGGTGGAGGTGATACTGAACAGTGGAGAGCAGCTATATCATTTGCTACAACTCCTGAACTCACTTTGGTGTGTGTCTGTGCATGTCTGTGCATGTCTGTCTGTCTGTCTGTCTGTCTGACTGGCTGGCTGGCTGGCTGGCTGTGCATGTGTGTGTGTGTCTGTCTGTGTGTCTGTCTGTCTGTCTGTGTGCATGTCTGTCTGTGTGCATGTCTGTCTGTGCATGTGCATGTCTGTCTGTGCATGTGCATGTCTGTCTGTCTGTTTGTATTTGTTCACAGCAGCAAGCGCAGTTGCAAGCGGCTGCTCAACAGCAGGGTCAAGCTGCTTCTCTGGTTGGCACGAAACCCACCATTGGCACCCTGGCACGTCTCAGCTCTCCCTCCGGTGTCGTATCTCCATCATCATCTGTTTCCTCTGTATCAACTATGCCTAACGTCAAACCAGCAGCAGCAGCTGGTTCTGCTACTGCTGGCAGTATGGCTGCTAATGTGAATCTTCAACGCACGGCGGCCGCTGTTGCTGCAGCTGGTGGCAGTGGCGCTGCAGGTAGTAGTGGTGCTGCAACAGCTACGGCCGGTGCTGGCAACGCTGCTGCTGCTTCTGCTAGCTCTGCTTCCACAGCATCGTCCAGTCAAGGCGGCAGCAATGTTGCCATTGGTGCTGCTGCTACGCCTGTAGCTCAGTCTGCACAGCAAGCTGCTGTCTCGGCAACACAGCTAGCGGCTGCCGCTAATTTGCAGCTGCAATCCCAGCAACAGCGTGCTATGTTGCCCAATGGTGGCATGCGCCAGCAACTGACAGCACAGCAGCAACAGCAGGTAATGTGCTAACGTATGTCTACATGTACAGTGTATCTGGTTAGGTTTGCCAGGAGGCTGATTATCCATGCAATGCTGTACCAGCAGCAAAGGTCCAGCAAGAAGAGACATTAGGGAGGTTTCGCGCTACGTACTTACGTATGAAAATAACGTAGGAACTGCACGTAGAAATCAGCGCTGTTCGGTTTCGCTCTACGTGATCTCTCCATGACTGCTAAGCATACCTTGTTGCTTTGGAGACGCGCTGGCTGCATGCACCCACCGCATGCACCCCGAACAGAAACCGCGTTTTCCATTTTGTTTTCCACGTGGTGTGTACCTTGTGTTTTACGCGGCTTGAACGTTACCATGGATACAACCGGAAAATGCGGAAAAATATTTTGTAAAGTCCTACGGAAATCCGTAGAGAGATTTACATGTGAAAGTTGCCCTTGCTCCCCGGCGCGTATGACATGCGGGTTTTCATACGTAATAACGGGACTTGATGCTGAGATATACTCCGTAGTCATAAGTCTTGCAAGACTGATACTGAGAAATACTCAATACTTGTCGGTATGAAGTCAGTTATGTGCTGAGGCTATCCACAGTTGTCTGTCTGTCTGTCTGCCTGACTGGTTGATTTGTTTGTTTTTACTTTGACTCCTATGCGGAGAATACAATGAACACTTTGAACCTCAGCAGCAAGTGTGCAAGTGTGAGCTGCACATTGGGAGCAATCAACTTCTCTAAACTACATTGTATATTTGCTGAAGTCGCTACTTCTAAGCTCTAAGTCTGGTTCTGTACATGTATGTAGCTGCTTGTGCCACACTCTCGACTAATACGGTGTGTCTTTGTCTTTATTTGTTTTGTGTGAGAGTGTATGTGGGAGTGTTGTGGTTGTTGTTGTTGTGGTGGTTGTTGTTGTGGTTGTTGTTGTGGTTGTTGTGGTTGTTGTGGTTGTTGTGGTTGTTGTGGTTGTTGTGGTTGTTGTGGTTGTTGTGGTTGTTGTTGTGGTTGTTGTTGTTGTTGTGGTCGTCGTTGTTGTTGTCGCCGTCATCGTTGGTTTTGATTCTGCCTGCCTCTTCACTGGGAACATCATGTTGCTGTTTGTCATCATAGCTCTTGCGCAACGCAGCCGCAAGTAAGTGTATGTCTGTACCTATTTTGCTGCTGCTGCTATTAGTGTCGCTCCACGGATAGTTCATACTCTGCAAGACTTGCAAAACTGGTCGCAGTAATGGCCGTTGCAATAATGGCGTAGCATGATTGACATTGGTCAATGGACATGTACAATCAGTGACTGTATATTAGAGCCAGAGACTGCTGTGTATTGGTCATTAACTAGACAGTACGAGACAGTACGAGAGTTGTAGTACTGCTCACACACTGTACCACTACTACCACTACTACTGCCACACATACTGTGTTGCCACACCTGCCGACATGTCAGTAGCGTGCCGATTTTTCAGGCCTGTCACGACCTGCCGACAATTGACCGTCTCCTGCCGACAACAGCCGTGAAAGTGTCCAAATTTGACCTTTGTGCTTGGTTTAGAAGTCATGGTCCAGAATTTTGGCTTTTACTGCTCATTACGAGTGATTCCATAGCTCTCTCCTACAATGCAAACATCAGCTGTCTGGGGGAAATCGGCAAACTCAGCCTGAGTCGTGTGCACTGTAGAATCCCGCTGGTGGGTTTGTACAACGAAGCTTGGCGATGTTCGAACTTGGCCTAGGCTTATGTGCGGGTGGTTTTATCCGCTGGACTCAAGGGCATATTGGGGTTACTACAAGGGGGGGGGGGGCCCGGGGGCAAAGCCCCCGGATGATGCATTTTATTTTTGTTCAGTCTACTGATATTTGGCTATAATGATGTGGCAACACTGCGCATACATCAAGTACAGTAAAACCTGTCAAAGCGACCTGTCGGATAAGGCGACCACCTGTCCCTGAAGACCATTGCAACCGGGACCAGGGGGTGCTGATTTTATTTCCAGTCAAATGACCCTGGATAAGGAGACCACCTGGTTACAGAGGCCACGTTTCGAAGGTCCCTTGAGCTGTCGTCTTAGACAGGTTTCACTGTACTTGTAATGTACATGCAGTCCAGCAGTGTGTGCATGTTAGTGTTGCCATACTTTAGTGTACAGTCAACTTTGCGTAGAACCACACTTGGCGGGGCATCAGAAAAGTGTCCTTATTCGCAAAGTCTCCTTATACCCGAAGTCTCATTATAAGTATGACAGTTAGATGGGATTTTGCTCTGGGCATGGAAATTCTGTCGTTATTCGCGAATTGTCGTTATATCCGCAGTCGTTATTAGCAAAGTTGACTGTGCTTGTACAGTGGAACGTTGCCGGTACTGTCTATGGCTGCATGATGGCTGATGCATGATGCCAATTGTAACTCGCTCACGGAGCGCATTTCGTAAAGTACTGGCAAGCATTGTTGTCTGTAACAGTTAGTAAAGACATAAGCAAGATCTTGTACTGCCTGATTTAGCCCTGCTTTGTTTCTCTCGGTGTGTGTGTGTGTGTGTCTGTGTATCTGTGTGTGTGTGTGTGTCTGTGTGTCTGTGTCTGTGTGTGTCTGTGTGTCCCCTTGTCAGCTGGTAGTCTTTCCAATCTAACACCGCAGCAGATAGCTGCTATGCGCCACTACCATATCCAGCAACAGCAGCAGATTGCCCGACAACGCGCCCAAGAGGCTGCAGCCGTTGCTTCCAATGCTGCAAGTGGCAATTTAGCCGGTGCTGCTGCTGCTGCTGCTCAAGGTCTACCCGGAGCTCTGCCTGGTGCAGCTGGCCTGGTTGATGTGACTGGTCGTGCCACTGGTTCGATGACACGTGGGACTACCCCTGTTGGTCCAGCAACGGCTGCTGTTAATGCTGCTGTAGCAGCTGGAAATCCACCATCTCAACAGCAGCGGCTTCTGGCACAACGTGAGATGTATCTCATTAAGCAAGCCCATCAAGCCCAGCAAGCCCAGCATTTGCAACAACGACAACAGCTCCTGCAGCAGCAGCAACAGCAGCAGCAACAACAGCAGCAACAACAACAGCAGAGTCAGGTGCAGGCTGCAGTAGCTGCGAATCAGCAACCCGTTCCTGTCAATCAGCAGCAGGTTGTAGCTGCTGCAGCCGCTGCCGGCCTTGCATCTCATCATCCTGGTCAGTCATCCTCACCACAACAGCAGCAGGCAGTAGCTGCTGCATTGGCAGTTCAGCAACAGCAGCAGCAGCAAGCACAGTTGCTTAGCATGCGTGGCCCGTCCGCGGCAACAGGACAGCAGCAGCAACAGCAGCAGCAGCAGGTTTCACATGTACCACGTGCAGGTACACCAGGAAGTGTAGCTGCTGGCCCTGTATCACCGCATCCGTCGCTTCAAAGTCACCTTGTACCGAGTCCTACCCTAAACCAGTTAGCCAGCCCGATGGATGCTGGCAGTATTGCTGTAGCTGCAGGAGCAAGTCAATCACCACCGCTCAAACCATCTTCAATGTTATCATTACGCAGTTCTAGCCCAGCTGGCAGTCACACAAGCTCAACGACACCACTGAACGCCGTCACTAGTCCACTAGCTACCACTGCAGCTGCTGCTGTTAGCTCTTCTGCTTCCGCCACCGCCGCTGCAAGTACAGTGCCAGCACATGCTGAAGGTGATGTATCGTCCAGCGTCGCTTCGCCTACTGTGTCCTCGCCGGCGTCCAATGCTGCAGCTGGTGCAGTCTCTGCCGGTACTACATCTCCATCTGGTGGCCACTACCGACTCCGACACCCATCAAAGTCCTAGTGTGTTGATGATTGCAAACAGCCTGCTTGCTTTCAGTGTATTTATTACTGGCCTTGAAAAAAATACACCAGACTCGGGAGTACATGCATGGTAGTAGTACTGGAAGTATGCCTTGTGACTGGACGTTGGTGCTTGCAAACAACTTGACCGCCTTCAGTGTAGTGATATGACTGTGCCTTGAAGAACACCCGGCTCTGCTAGCGTTGCAACTACACATCATGATTTGCCGATGTCTTGTAGAAGGAAGCATGTGCACGTCAGAACACACCCTGTCCCCTGCCCGTCTGAAGCGAGCAAAACACACTGAAATCAGACTCTCCCATCGACCGATTGTTTTCATTGTGCGGCTGCATACGTTGCTGCTGCAGGCTCGGTTGCTCTCTCTCTCTCTCTCTCTCTCTCTCTTTCTCTCTAATGATATTGGCGCGTGCTGTGGTAGTAACCATTGTATTCATGTTCATCTCTGCCCTTTGTCCTGTAGGTTTGCCCACTGTATGTATGGTATATGGCATGGCTGTGCTGTCAACATTTTCTGTATACCTGTTGCTCTCTTTCTCTCTCACACACACACAGCAGGACCAGCAGCAGCGAGCTTTGTTCAGAATTCTGAGAATGTTATGGTCTTGCTGGGTGTGTTGTCTAGTCAGCTGTGCAGATGTGCAGATGTGCTGCCTTGTACTTGTATTTTATTGTGGTGGGAGCTCATCACTAACCGTTACCGTGACTTTTCTTTTCTTTCCTCCTGTATTCAGTTGAATGCCAGACAATGTCCCCAAAAAATGTCTGATTGTTACGAGCATTTTTCCTCTCCTTTATGATCATCTTGGCGGTCATTGGCGGCACCCGGACAAGAAAGCTATGCTTGGTTATGCTGATGCCATTGTGCTAAAGTGCTTCTGTATGTGTATGTGAGTACATGTATTGGCAAGATCATGTGGTCATCATGCACTTTCTGGTTTTCACTCTAGTCTGTACAGCTGTATAAATGTAATTTTTTTTATTATTAACGGCTAAGCAACGGAGAAGATTGATCCATTTTTATCTTCGGTGTCTTGTTTCACTGGATTTTGCTCTTCTTCATCTCCTTCAGCGCATTGTGATGAAGGACAAGAGTTCTTTCATGAATTTGTGGGTATTTAATCATGAAAGTACCATGATTTTAACTTTTCTCTTGCACTGCCTGTGTGTTGAAGTGTGTGTGTGTGTTGCAGTGTGTTCTGGCGGGGCCGTGGCAGGGTGAGAACTTGTTTCTGCGTGCATGCGTGTGCCAGATACAGTCATGTCCAAAGAAATCCGACTCGCGTGCCAAAAGCAGCATCAAGGCTCGTGCGGCCCTCGAGTTGGTTTTTCGAACGCCCATTATGTGTTGAAATGGAAACATGCATGGTGCCACCTAAAAACTTTGAGTCGTCGGTCAGATTTCTTAGCCCACGGCTGTATTTTGGTTGTGGGTGCACCTTTGCCAAATACGGTAGTGGTTGAGTTGGTTGCCATCATGCTTGGCTACTTTGGTGTTAACCTGCTGCATCAGTTGGCTGTTCCTGTTGAACCTGTCTCCCCTCTCCTGACATGAACTTAGTTTCTTGTAGTGAGCGAGTACACTCTGGCTGGTTGGCAGTTAGCGTATACATGTACATCTGACATCCATGAAACCCTGATGCCACTATAATGTAGGGAGCCCTATGTGTATGTGTAGGGGGTTCCCTGGGTGCCATTGCCTGCTGTACAGTGCATGTACGTAGTGTGTGTTCGTGGCACTGTCACGTCACCATGGTCACGGTGATCTCGTGAGACACAGTCATAACTACCGGTATGTGTATAAGGTAATCTGAGCAAGGGAAATCCATCTCACCGCAGACAGCTAGGGAAATCCATCTCACTGCAGACAGCAAGGGAAATCCATCTCACCGCAGACAGCAAGGGAAATCCATCTCACCGCAAACAGCAAGGGAAATCCATCTCACCGCAGGCAGCTAGGGAAATCCATCTCACCGCAGACAGCAAGGGAAATCCATCTCACCGCAGACAGCTAAGGAAATCCATCTCACCGCAGACAGCTAGGGAAATCCATCTCACCGCAGACAGCTAGGGAAATCCATCTCACCGCAGACAGCAAGGGAAATCCATCTCACCGCAAACAGCAAGGGAAATCCATCTCACCGCAGACAGCAAGGGAAATCCATCTCACCGCAGGCAGCTAGGGAAATCCATCTCACCGCAGACAGCAAGGGAAATCCATCTCACCGCAGACAGCTAAGGAAATCCATCTCACCGCAGACAGCTAGGGAAATCCATCTCACCGCAGACAGCTAGGGAAATCCATCTCACCGCAGACAGCTAGGGAAATCCATCTCACCGCAGACAGGTGCCTTTTAGTGTACTTGTTGAGACCAGTGGTTCCGGAGTCGCGGATAGGTGTAGCCGTCCATCACTGTCCTGCCTCTGCTACCGGGTTGTCATTCACTGCTCGACCTACTGTGGCCATATCCCATGAGTGCTGCAAATGCACCCTGCGACCTATGCAGCCGCTGCTTCCGATCTGCTCAAAGCCACAATCCTCACTGTTGTTTAGGAGCTATTGTCGTCCCACAGCAGCAGAGCATAACTCTCCGCACACTTGTGTCTGTTTGCACCGATTCCATCTGCTTCTGCATCTAAAGCGTTATCAGGTGCCATGTTCTCTCTCTCTGCTACACCTTTAGGGCCCACGTGAACCTAGATGGTAGTGGCTCAACAGGACAAGCGTGTGTGCGTGTGGTACATGGTGTGTGTGTGTGTGTGTGTGTGTGTGTGTGTGTAGCTCCCCCGCACACAGGTAACAAACCAGTTGCAGTACATGTATCAGTAGTGGTACTTCCCCCGTGCCCCCAACAAGAAGTACAGTCAGACCTCGCTTATCCGGTCCTCTTTTATCCGGATCCCTCGCCATCCGGAAGAAAATGTCTGGTTACCGATTTACAGCATATGCTATGCATACATACAGTATGTGTGTTCAATTATCCGGTTCTCTTGCCTATTCGGATATTTTTGTCGAAAATGCATGTGTGCGGTTATGCAAGGTCTGACTGTAGCCATACAGAGTATTAGCTCCATGGGAAGAAAAAATCCGGAATGTCAAATGCGATATCACAGCCATTACACACGGCACAGAGCACCACGCATCGTTGGTTGTAATCACAGCCATTATAAATAAAATGAAGGTTTGTTGTGCGGGCAGTCCACCAGGGATAGCCGGGGAGATTGATTTCATGATGGACTCAATTTTGTATTGTGGCGATGCATAGGCAAGGTCAGCTCAGTTTTCTAGCAATATCCAGCATGAGCAACATCAACACCACCATAGCCATTCATAGACGTGTTTGGGTGCACGTGAGTAGCTACCAGCTCAGCTATGCTCAGCAGTGACAGCTACTAGTACTTCAATTGCTAATGGAGTGGCCATTCCTAGCCCGCTGTCGACTTTCATGGATGCGGTAAAGCTCCTGCACGCACTCGAATGCAATGAGGAAAATGATGATGAGCTCAAGTCGTGAATTGTGCAGCGTGCTCTGTTCATCCACCAGCCTAGTCACTAGCTCAGAGCAGAAATCCAGTTTCTTGATGACAGCACGCACACGTGAGTTGTAATCCTGAATCTTGAGTACCTCTAGATGCAACTCCTCAATGCGTGGCCGATTCCAGTAGAAGCCTTCTTCGTTCAAGTCGGGCTGCTCACTGGCGTCAAAGCGCAGCTGGCAGATTCTCAACGCCAGCTGATGCGGTTGCTTGGAACGCCTCCACTTTGTGACTTCGCCTCGCTCTGCTAAGCTGTGCACCTTGGACTTGGCTTCTTCTACTCGTTTCTCAATAATACCTAGCTGAACGGATAGTGCCAGCGCATGCGAAATAGCCAGCTGGTACTCGAGCAGATCCTCAGCAGATAACGAGTCGCTCAGCATGATGGTTTCGCGTTCAATCCACCACTTGCGCTGTCCAGCTGAAGACTGGGGCCGGTGGCTGTCAGGACGAATACAGCACTGCAGGGCATCTACTTCTTGTCTCACCAGCGATTCATCTAGTATAGGACACTCTTCAGCTGGTTTTAGTGCAACGCGTAGGTCTCCTTGGTCGACCAGGGATGCATTCCACAACACAAACGCTCCAAATTCGAACACAAATCCCAAATCGGTTCGTGTGACTTTAGAAGCATCGTGAGGCAGCCCACCTACGATAGGCACAAGTTGATTGTTCTCCAGAACATTGAGGTTATACGACTTTGCAGTTTTCACACCAGTCAAGTTATACAACTGGACATCGGGGTTGTCTTCAAGGTCGACAGTCGTCGCCAGCACATTGTTTGCTGACCTCTTGGAACTACACCACAACGGAGCTGATGTCTCGAGACGCCTTCTTGGGAGGCAGGTAATACGTCTTACACAACCACTCAACCCTGCACGGGTGAACATCAAGTATGTCTTGTCACAAGACAAGGCGAGCTCTATATCCTGCACGAGCCAAAAAGCACTACATGTGGCAATACTAATAGAGAGCCTTGACCAGGAGAAGCAGCCACCTCTCCTTGCCTCCCCATGCAAGTGATCACTTGCGACTACACACCGGGAGCCACAGAATATGTAATCCGTCAGTTCGACCTGAGCACATTATTAGATACCTGACATCTGTGTTGCACAACCAACTAACTACTTACTTCAATCTCTTCAAGACAATCATTATGCCCATTACAACATGTCATTGTGAGACTTTTCAAAAACAGCACCACGTAGATTTTCGTACATGCAATCATAAAAAATGATTTTCGAGAACATTGCGATGTCGCACCTCGACTTCGCCATATTTCACTATGGAAACAAGGGACGCTACGATAGCGCGGTGCTTGCAGATTTGAGCTTGAGCTTTACTTGCTTGCGCTGTCTTGACGTCTCCACTCCACTCCACCCCACACCTGTACGAATACTGTCGGTCCACCAAAGGCATCATCTTCTAATCTTGTGACTGGCACGATTATTTCCTGATGCTTGATAATTTTGAGTCCGAAAGGTGTGCTATTTTGTTAGATCGGTGATCGCCCCATAGAAAATGGTTGTGTGCTCCCATTATTTATAGTCCTCTCTCTCAGCACGATGGCATCTCCAGCACCTGAATTAGAGGTACCATGGGGTCAAACAATTCAAAAAGCTGAACTTGACTATGCGTTTTGGATGCAATCCAAACAGCTGGCTCTAGCTGCAGAGACCAGGGCCATTACGTTGATGCAAGGCAAATCCAGTGTTGCATGCTCGTCGAGCTCATCCGATGCCAGCAATCCTCTACTGCACACACAGCATACTATGGCGAGTAATCGTGTGTACGAAGATGGAATGAATATTGAGGAGGGTCATTTTTCGGAAGATCCCAGTACTAGTACTGCGGAGGCCAGGGCTGTTGCCTCTGCTGAAGGAGAGTGGCTGCGTAGTAGGTACACTGTACAGTCTTGTTACATGGCGGAGACCAACGTCATGTTGGTGAAAAGCAGCACACCAGTTGTGCCGGAGTCTGCCGGAGAGTACACTTGTAGTGTTGATGAGTACAGCAGTACACAAACCATTGGCACTAGCAGCAGCAGAAGTCAAGTAGATGTAGAAGATTCAGGACAGCAGCAGCAGCAGCAGCAGCAGCAACAGTGTGTTAGTGATGCAGAGCTTGACCGGCAATGTCGCAGCACACCTCATGACGTTGATACAGCTACAGCAGTTGTCAGCGACACTGTACCTGTCAATACAGAGCTAGAGGTCAAGGAAGATCCGATCTCGGATGTCACTGACAATGCTGGTACTACTATGAGCAGTGTAGAATGTCATGCAGACGCTGGTAGCGATGTAGGGGTGGACATCGCAACGGCGGAGGCGCTGAAGCAGCGAGTTGCCAGTGCTGAAAATGCATGGATACAGCAGAGTGTGGCACGTGTGAAAGCAGACCAGACATGTGCAGACATGATGGCATCGCATGCCGCCGTCTCAACCACTGCTGCTTCTGCTACTGTCATCACTTGTGGTGCTAGTGCGAGTGTGGTGGCTACTTGTGATGATGAGCGTGTAGCTGAGACTAGCACTGCAAGTACTGAGCCTGATGCTGTACACACAGTACACCACTCTGTGCATGCAGATGATAGTGAAGATGGTGCTGCTGCTGATGGTGCTGCTGCTGATGGTGCTGCTGCTGATGGTGCTACTGCTGATGGTGCTGCTGCTGATGGTGCTGCTGCTCATGGTGCTGCTGCTCATGGTGCTGCTGCTGACGGTGCTGCTGCTGCTGATGGTGCTGCTGCTGCTGATGTTGGTGGTGGTACTGGTGGTGGTGCTGCTGCTGATGATGTGCTGCTGTGCCCCATGCCAGATGATGACGGCGCAGTGGGGAGATTGCAACAGGTGGCGTGTGGCGAGAACGCATGGCTACAGCAGAGTATGGCGCACACTTGCGCTGATCAAGCTGAAACCAGAATACTATCAGCTGCACCGACATCAACAACGGAAAGAGCCGGCAGTGATGAATGTGATGCGATTGCAGCAACCGATGAGCTTGCTGGTGAGCTGTCTGCTCTCGACACATCTCCTGTAGTGCAAGCAAGTGCAGTAGACACACTAACAGCCAGCTCTTTATCGTGTGACACACCTAAAACCATGTCATCAGAGCCAGCAACACTCGTGTTGGGGGAAGAAACACCAGCAGCAGCAGCAGCAGCAACGGATATACGCAATACTACTCCTACTACCCGTGGTAACCGTGGTAACCCTGATGATTGTGATCCCGCTGTACCTACTACTGCACATGGGGTTGACAAGACTTTGCTGTCTTCATCTGACAACTCATCTTCTCATGGTGATCAGCCGATGGGCAAAGATGCAGAGCCAGCAGGTTCGACATCTGGTACACCTGCATTAGCTACTGTCCTGGCTACGTCTAGCACCGACGCCACTGATGGTGCTGCTGATGCTGCTCATTCTACTGCCTGTGACGTTGCTGTACCGATAGTGGCAATTGAAGACGCTGTCATTACGAACATGACGGCGGATACCAGCAGTGAGGCAGTACTGACCGCACAGCCCAGCAGTGAGGCAGTTCTGAGCGCACAGCTTGAATCAGCCGTATCGACAGCACTGGCTACTAGTAACACTGATTGCTCCGAGCCATCCCCAAGCAGAGTTGAAGATGGCCGCCGGCAGCCACAGCAGCAGCATCTGCAAGAGCATGCAGTAGACCCGCTGCCCAGTGAGGATACGCATAAGCAGCCGAAAAGCAGTGTCACTGGTCGGGCGGACGAATTGGAAAGCAAGTCAGCAGCGGACAAAACTAGTCCTGTGGGACGCAAGAAGAAGGTGGTCAAGAAGAAACTGAAAGCCAAGACCAGTACTCCTGTTAGTGAATCACCAGCCACTGTATGCAATACTGGTACGGTGGCAGCAAGTGATATTGATATCTTTGCCGATGGCGCGGCCACAGCTGCCATTGCTGATAGCGCTCCAGTGCCTGCTGATGGTGCAGTGCGCAAAGTCAAGAAGAAGACAACGAAGACAAAGACTGACGGTGAAGTAAAAAAGAAGAAAAAGAAAGTCGTGAAGAAGACAGTGGATGCAGCAGCTGTCGGTGAGTCTTCCACTCCCACTAACTCTACAGTCCAGTCTAGCCCTAAACTAAGCGATGATGTAATGCTGGCAAAGGATGACATCATTGGGATAGAGACGGCTACAGAAGCACCACTGGATTCCTCGGCTAGGCCACTGGCTATGGCATCACCCATGTCCGTTGACAGTGCTGCCTTAGAGCCTATAGTTACTGCTTCTAGCAATGATGTCATACCAACGAGAGATGACATCACAGCGTTGGAGTCCAATGCAGAGCCGTCGTTACCTTCTACTGCATCCGCCGTAGAGCCAGCTGCAGATGTCGGTAACTCAACCGCTGTGGACGAGCCAGATCTCGGCATGCACGATGATCCGCTAACAACATATAAATTGCTGGCTAGTACAGATGATGCTGCTGACCGTCAAGATGGTGACGATTACGCAAGACCAGTATCACCAACTGCTGCTGCTACTGGCCACAATGGCAGACTGTTGACTCAGGACGTTCTGGTCTCGGTGTCACTGCCCAGCAAGCAGATAGCACCCAGTGCACACACAACCAGCCTACAGCAAGATTGTGATGAACAGCACACGCTGGATGATGGTGATGAGCAACACACGCTGGATGAACTAGCGGGTGAAAGTATGCCTCATCGAGATGATAACAATGAACTTGCCGATGGCACGGCTCCAGTGCTTGACTCAGACCATGCACACAGTAGGCATACAGATGACGACGACGGGGAGAACTCTGATCATGATGACATTGCTGGAGTAGTGGGTGACACAACACCACTATCAACACAAGCAGTGGGTGATACAACACCACTATCAACACAAGCAGCATATCATGATGATAGTGATGCTGTTGTAGATGATGCAGTGGACGAACGGACCGACTCTGCTACTGCGGCACCGACTGTGCTGGACGAGTCACCAGTGCATGATCATCAGGTACATGATGCTAATGATGTGCTAGGGGATGTCACTCGTACCACTGAAGATGATGTTCCAGGTATAGGCCGACCTGCAGCCACAGTGGAACCAGCACATCGACAGAATCCAACAGCGAGTACAGCAGCATTAGACACAACCAACGCAACAGTATCGAGTGCAACAGCAGTAGCGAGTGCAGTGGAGCAGCAGCCTATATTAACCAAGGCAACACCTGGTCCTGGTCTAGTGCCGTTTCATCAACAGCAAGATGTTGTGGCCAGTGCTGCTCACTCTGTCGGCGTTGACTTGATGGCTCTGAAGCAGCAGCAACAACACCTCTCCGCTCTCTACCCGACTGACATACGCGAATGTCAGAATCTCCTCCGCGAGGAACGCACACGTCGCATTGTGGCTGAGAAGCTGGTTGATATTGTCCAAGAAGAATCAAGTACAGCCATGCGACAGCTTTCTAGTGAAACCACCGTACGGTTGAAGGTGGAAAGTGACCTATCAGATGTGAAGGTTAGTTGTGTCATGTCGGTTGTGTCCTGATAACACAGAATGGCCGCGACACGGGGGGGGGGGGGGGGGGGGGTGTTATCGCAAAACTTTTCATCAACCACAACGCGCACCTCAAAGGGATTTGTTCAATGTCAACTGGATATGGTACTAGTTGTTAGCATCTTTCACAACTGCTGTGCTATGGCCCCTTACACATGCACGGTCATCCATCTTTAATCTAGCACTTTATAAAACAGCATTCTCCATAAACCAGCATATTTGTCAGTATAAACCAAAATGCCCTATCCGTGCCCGCTCCACCAATAAATCAGATTTGTTTTAATTAAAATTAATCCCGCACCCTCCCTCAGGGGCGTTACACACGGTACGACCAGTACGACTGCGGTCACACCACTTTTCGTCCAGGATGGGCCGCTCAGAGCGCCCGTGAAGTGCTAAAACGTGCTCTGTTGACCGAGAAATCCAATTTTTCCCGAGGAGGGGGGGGGGCACCTCCCTGCACCCCGGTCGTACCACTCCCCACTGCCCTGTGACGCCCCTGAAGTACTCACGAACTGAGATCCCCCCCCCCCCCCCCCGGGACACCCTGGACCCCAGTCGTACCACTCCCCACTGCCCTGTGACGCCCCTAAAGTACTCACCAACTGAGATCCCCCCCCCCCCCCCGGACATCCCGGTCGTACCACTCCCCACTGCCCTGTGACACCCCTGCTCCCTAATCCAATAATAGTAAGAAGAAGGACACAGTTCTGGTTCTTGAACGACATCTATCTGAACGTTTTCACGAGTATACATGTACTTACACGCCTTCCTCGTCAGGTTCCTTCTTCTTAGTATTATTGCACTCTTGTCTCCGAGGAAACTGTCCTGCCTAATCCAGCAGAATTTCCGTAGCACCAATGGTACTGGATTATAGACTCCAGGGACCACTGTACACTCGTGTAGAAGATGTAATACAGTGAACATGGTTGGTGTGGTGTGTTATGACTTTCTCTGCAGGCTGAGCTACGCAAGGAGAAGGAGACATCTCAAAACCTGTCACAGCGTGTTCAAGAGTTGGAGCAGAGTTTAGAAGGTACATCACACATGGTAAGTTGTCATGCTCGTCCTTGTGTGTGTGTGTGTGTGTGTGTGTGTGTGTGTGTGCGTGTGTGTGTGTGTGTGTGTGTGTGTGTGTGTGCGTGTGTGTGTGTGTTCATGTGTGGTGTGGTGTGTGTGCGTGCGTGTGCGCGAATATGTGTGTGCATGTGTACATACGTACAGCAGTGGCAGGTGAAATCTGCGCTCGTAACTGTGACGTTACCGGTGCTGGGAATGATGAACTATGCAGTGAACGTGGTGTGGAAACAACTTGTGGAGATCATTTTCAATTATTCATTGCCCTGTTTTGCCTCACATTGCAAAGCTCTTCTGTAAATCGCCTTGTTTTCTTTGCATGGGTGTACAGGCAGTACACTATTTGTGGGTTGGTACCAGGGAATCGTAGAACGATATACGAGTGGACCCCAGATTTGGAAGTTCTATGTGATCCATGGTCTATGCAAGTGGTGATTACGGCCTTGACTTGCTGACCCTGAACCCGGGCCAGATCAATGTGAGCGTGTGCAAAATGACCCTGCCCCAAGGGTGACTGAAGCGATTAGCTTGGGAGCGAAACCCACATTTGTTGACGTTGTAGTCACCTGCCTCGTCTCCTTAGATTTTACGACTATTCTACGACTATTCTACGACTCCCTGGTTTGTATGCGGCGCAAGTGCTTTCACATGGCATATCCTATGCTCTGTGTGTGTATCCCTCGGCAGTGTATATATACGAGAACAACTGTTGTGTGTATCTGATGTTCCTGATGTTGTTGTTGTGTGCTAACACAGGTGAGAAAACTGGAACATCAACTAACCAACAGCATGGCTCTGAGAGGGTAAGCCAAACCTAGCCCCGCTGTTACGTGAGTCAGATGTATTGATGCAATCTTGTGGAGTTCATCAGCATGCATACACTTGTACATGTATCTCTATGTCACTATGTCACTATGTCATGTAGATTTAACATCACCTGTGCTACAATGGTCCATTGTTCATCTAGGGCTGTCTGTGAAAGGGTCATTTTGCTGGCTAAATGTAGATGCTGGTAATGCCACATCTCATTTACCGTTTTACTCTGTGTGTGTGTGTGTGTGTGTGTGCGCGTGTGTGTGTGTGTGTGTGTGTGTGTGTGTGTGTGTGTGTGTGTGTGTGTGTATGTACCGAAGTATGTGTGTGTGTACGTTTGTGTGTGTGTGCTTAAACTGGACATGCTTGGTTGGTGAGCATTCTACAATGTATCAACTACTGGATGTACAAGAGAGGATTCTATTGTTGTGTGCTGTTGTGTGCTGTTGTGTACAGTGGTATGGACTACATGCTAGATGCAAAGATCTCCAGAAGTCGTGCATCAGAGGCTGAAGCTAAGCTGGAAGGTACGCCCGGTCTCAATGGACAACCGTTTGTTTTTCTTGTTATGCCATCATGGTCATGCGTGTGCGTAGTACATCTACAGTTCTACACGTGTGGTGTAGTGTAGTGTGATAACAAAAGAGTAAGTTTAATATTGCGTCCATTCCCAAAGGGAATTCACGACAGCCGCTAACACCCGGTAAACCCTAGCGGCAGATGCAGCGCCTAACAGTGGGGGCGAGGGGATAAGTCTCACAACCATTGGCACGAATGCCGGAAAAACCCCATTAGCCGCATCCATGTACCCCTTGTGCCTGCAGTGCAATGCTAATGTGATAAGCAATGCAGCCACTACATGTGCTGTACTGTAGTAGAATGGCTGTCTTGATTGTAGCAGTGTTTGCCATGTGTGTATGCGCGCGCGCGTGTGTGTGTGTGTGTGTGTGTGTGTGTGTGCACGTGTGTGTGTTTGCACGTGTGTGCGCATGCATGTGTGTGTGTGTCTGTGCATGCATGCATGTGTGTGTCTGTGCGCGCACGTGTGTGTACGTGCGTGCGTGTACTTACAGTCACCCAATCCGAGCTGGTCCAAGCTCAGTCGGAGGTACAGCACTTACTAGAGCGCTTGCAGGACTTGACTTCTTCCAGGTATGTTTGTATGCACCGCGTACATTCATTAGTTTGAGGGGGAGTGCGCATGTATGTTTGTAGGTACATGCATGACTGTATGACTGTGTATTTTATGTACACACCACCCTGTAGGATGCTCACCAATAAAACACATTCCAGTAAAACCTGTAACTAACGACCACCCTTTTGGGGCCAGAGAAAGCGGTCTTTAGTGGCAGGTGGTCCTTAGTTAGAGGTTTGCACCGCTTAATCATAATGGGAGACCATCCGTGCCTGGCGGAGTGGTCTGTAGTACCAGGCTGGTCGCTAGTCACGGTGCCGGTCTTTACAATTGTACAATTGTAGTTACATGTTTGACTGTAGGTAGGTATGTTGGCTGATGTTTGACCAAGGCCATAAAACTCAGAGTAGCAACAGGAAATGATTAGTTTGTGAGCACCCTACTAGACTGTGTGTACTCACTCTAGTGATTTTCACTACTACTGTTTTAAGCACTCTTGGAGTGTTGGTGCTGGACGACAACCACTTCTCTTCTTGCATGATTGTGTAGTATGTATACTTGAAGTAATTGATTATTGTTTCAAAACTCGCTGTGTTTTTGACAGTTACAGCACTCTGAAGTTGATCTGTTGAGCGGATTTAAAAATGTTGTTGTTCATTGCAATCGGTTGGGCCATTCTCATGAGACCTAAGAAGGTTGAAATAGCCACGATGTAGCTGTTAAGAGATAGAGTAATTTTAAAGGGCACTGATTTTGGCCACCAGCACTGGATGTGCAGCTTCTTGAGGTGCTTGATTTCACAATTCCTTGTATTTGCTAGAATAGCTGTCTCTCTATCGCTGCACTTGTGTGCAGTATTGCTGGGCTTGGATTGAATGTTGTATTATCCTTTTCCACTCCCCTGACTCCTCATTGCTCATTTACTGTCTTCCGTCAGTTTCTTGCTGTTGTTGCTCCCGTGTTTTATTCTGGCTGCTGCTGCTGCTGTTGTTTCTTCTTCTGCTGTTGACGTTGCCCCTGTGAGATTAAAATCAGTGTAACTACCATATTGGTGAATGTTGGCCTGCTTGTAGAGTACAGCTTTGTTAAAAGAACTGAGAACTGTTGGTCTGTGTGGTACAGTGCAGTGCAGTAGTAAAATGCAATGTAGATAGTTTTTCTTTCTTTCAAGTACTGTGCTTTTTTGTGCGTGCATGCGTATGCTTGCATGTGTGTGTGTATGTGTGTGTATGTGTGTGTGTGTGCGTGCACGCGCGCGTGTGTGTGTGTGTGCGTGTGTATGTGTGTGTGTGTGTGTGTGTGTGTGTGTGTGCACGTGCACGCGTGTGCATGTATGTGTACATACGTTCTTTCCTTTCCCTCTGTCTCATAGAAAGGAGATGGTATCCAGCGATGTTCACAGTCGACTTCTGAGCATTTCTGACGAACGAGCTGTCAGGGCTGAAGAAGAAGTCCGGCGCTTGCAAGATGAGGTGAATTTTTTTGCAGCTGTTACTGCTGCTGCTGCTGCTGCTACTTCTGGTTGTACAGTTGTTGTTGCTGCGCTGTTGTGACTTGTGGTGGTGGTGGTGGTGGTACTCCGCCTGCTGTGACGGCTGTTGTTGATGAAGTAAGCTCTGTTCATCGTCTGTTTGTGTCCTTGCAGATGTCTCATATTCGTGTTGCTCAGGGTCTTCCACCAGGTCACCATTCAGGGTTAGCTGGCAGTGTAAGTGATCTGATGTGCCATTTCCACCGTGCTGCAACATCACATGATACTCTGATTTGTACTAGCACTGTTTGTGCGTGGGAGTCCTTCATGGGTGATTGCTCCCGACATAGGAGTGCATACATCGTGTTGCCGACTTCCACATTGGGGGCAATCGACTTCCTGCTATTGTTGCCGACTGCTAGCTGCTGTGAGAAGTTGGTAAGAGAGTTTTCTTTACATGAAGTAACCATGTCATGCTACGTGCGGAATATCACCAAATTCAAAGACTGTTCCAACATTAGACATGAATTTTCCTTTTTTTTTTCTTTTTCATGATTGTGTAACTGTGCAGTCAGGTATGGGTGCCTATTCCCACGGTTCAATGTTCAATACTGCCGGTGCAGCAAGTACAGCACACTATCCAGGCTCTACATCCTCTTCAGCCTCTCTGTACGGCTCTAGTTCATCAGCATACATGTCATCGATGTCCAGCATGTATGGAGCACCGCCACCGTCATCTACTACTGGTGCGGCTGAGCCTCTGGGTAGCTACGCCAGCTTTCTACAACAGACTGCGCACCGAGCAGCTGGTATTGCCTCTTCGCCGTACTCCGCCTGGGGTCATATGCCACCATCGACATCAAGCACTGCTCACATGTCTCCGTATGGTACATCTCAACAACAGCCATCCTGGGCATCCACTGCATCATCATCATCATCATCATCAGCCTATCAATCCACATTGGCTGGTCACCCGGATCACACATACCCCACATCATCAACAGCACGTACGCCACAGAGGCAATTTGCAGACATTCTCGAGTCGTCCAAAGCAGGCAGCACCAAGCCGTCAGTAATCGCCGACGCTGTCAAGAAACAACCAAAGGTACTGTCAGCGTGCCTGTGTGGTTTACTGTCTGTGTCTAACTGTATGTGTCTAACTGTCTGTATGTACGAGTGCTCGTACATGTAACTGTCTGTACGTAACTGTCTTTAGTATTTCGCTCCTGCTCTGGTAGTAGTTGAGCACTCTCATGTGGGGTAGTGCCTTTGCTGTTTGCATTACGCAGAGCTCATTGACTTTTCAGTTTGAGCACTCTGGCAAGGTACGTTTGGGCCTGGTTTAAATCTGGCTTTGGAAAGTTGTTTTTTCATTGCTATCAGGTTCGGCCTCATTTTCTCTGTGCTGCGCTGATGAGTTCACAACGAACGAAACAGCATGCTGTCCGCAGATTGAGTCTAACTGTCTTTATTTAGCTGTCGGTATGTGACAATCTGTATGCTTGTGAATAAATGTCTAGAATGCATGAACTGAAATGCAGAAATGATCAAGCTTCACAATGCATTTCCGTAGTGGTCTAGCGCTGTGACTCTGATGTACTGTAGCTAATACATGACTCTGTGTAGACAAAGTGTCTGAAGTCCTTGCTGCAAATAGTGCTCAACACCTCAAAATGGGCAGAGCGTACTCACTTTGTGTATCTATTGACTGTACTGTAACTGATATGCATGTGTGTGTGTTTACCGACTGTACAGTCAGACCTCGCTTAACCGCACACATCCGCTTCCCACAAAAATATCTGGATAGGCGAGGGAACCGGATAATCGAACACCGGTTATGTTGGATGCACCACGTATGCTATAAATCTGTAACCAGCTATTTTCTTCCGGATGGCGAGGGATCCGGATAAAAGAGGACCAGATAAGCGAGGTCTGCCTGTACCTGTACCTGTACCTGTACCTGTACCTGTACCTGTACCTGTACCTGTACCTGTACCTGTGCCTGTACCTGTACCTGTACCTGTACCTGCACCTGCACCTGTACCTGTGCCTGTGCCTGTACCTGTACCTGTACCTGTACCTGCACCTGCACCTGCACCTGTGCCTGTACCTGTACCTGTACCTGTACCTGTACCTGTACCTGTACCTGTACCTGTACCTGTGCCTGTACCTGTACCTGTACCTGTACCTGCACCTGCACCTGCACCTGTGCCTGTACCTGTACCTGTACCTGTACCTGTACCTGTACCTGTACCTGTGCCTGTGCCTGTGCCTGTGCCTGTACCTGTACCTGTACCTGTACCTGTACCTGTACCTGTACCTGTACCTGTACCTGTACCTGTACCTGTACCTGCACCTGCACCTGCACCTGTACCTGTGCCTGTGCCTGTACCTGTACCTGTACCTGTACCTGTACCTGTACCTGTACCTGTACCTGTGCCTGTAGTTTCCTGGCAAGTGTAGTACAATGATACACGTGAACGGTCGGTGCAGTATGGGTATTGGCTGTCCCCACTTTACCTTGACCTAGTTAACACATGCTGTACTATATCTGCACGGTTTCCTGTGTGCTTGTGTGTGCATGTGTGTGTGTGTGTGCGTGTGTGTGTGTGTGTGTGTGTGTATGTGTGTGTGTATGCGTGTGTGTGTGTATGCGTGTGTGTGTGTGTGTGTGTGTATGTGTGTGTATGTGTGTGTGTGCGTGTGTGTGTGTGCGTGTGTGTGTGTGTGTGTGTGTGTGTGTGTGTGTGTGTGCATTACACCACAGGATGCATCACCGATTGAGAGCGATGTAACCAGTAGTCCTGCAGCATCACCACGACGCCGGCTTGTGCAGCTCACTCCCAAGAAGAGTGAAACCAGTAAGTCAGGCTAGAGCTAGCTGCAAGCGTCGTGTAGCGCTAGTTTTAATTTTTACTGCTTCACTGATCGCTAAGAACAGGGTGGGAACGTACAACATTTATTTTTATATTTTACTATGTTCACACACCAAGCTCGAAAATAATAATGAAAGGCAATTGTACTGAGACTAGGACGAACGTGACAACTATTGAGCAGGGACGGCACCGAGATGCAGCAGTGATGGTGGGGCATTGATGGCTCTGCCGACCTGAGGTCTCGGCATCACGGCCAAAAACACGCACCAAAAACGAAAGATAGAACTGTACGGGTCAGCGAAATGAAAAGAAAGCGAATACATGAACACGACACTAGGTGATGTGAGTTTCGCCATCCACACACCATACACCATAGCAAACCCTTGCAGAGTTGGACCCTCTTGGGAGTGCTATAAATTTTACTTTTGGTCGTATCTGTGCAGTTGAACACAGTTTTCATTAGTTACTGGTCTACCGATACCCGGGTCTGGGCGAGGGACACTGCGTGAACTGTTCATATCCAGGACAGGGTTTCTTTTAAGAGCTGTTCACAGTACTCAGTAGTTGATATGGCTGCACAAACTAATGCCCTACCGGTCGGTTTTCTGGCTGTAGTCAGTAGCACTGTACTTTGCAATAGGTCCTCAGCTTTGCGAGTATTTAAACTGTCCTCGAGGAGTGCTGCCAACCATTACATGACGCTGATTGGTGGTACGACAACACTGCTCACATGACCAACTTTCATGGATCTGTTATGTTCCACGAACTTGGATAGAATGACCCAACGCACATAAGGAAAGTGCCTTATGTACAGACTACATATTAGCGCTGCAGACTACATATTAGCGCTAGCTATCTGAGCGTGCCAATTGTATGAATAATAATGTGATACAATTGTATGAATAACGAGAGAGCTTGAAAGCTCAGGGCCCTGCGCTATGCTTTGTTGCCTAGCTCATCGTGTATGTTGTCAGAACTGATGGAAATGCTTTTTCCTTTGATTGGATGCATCATTGTATTGCAAAAACGTTTCAATGAGATACTGAAGTAACGTCTTCTGCATAGCTATGGGACCGGCGCTGACTCTGCCGATCACGGGCGTTCTGGAGTCGACGAGATGTCTGTCCTGACGTTTCCTGGGACCGGCGCTGACTCTGCCGATCACGGGCGTTCTTCTTCTTATTATTATTATACTGACAGCAACTAACATCCATTCTGATTGCATTTACTCGTCTCCCTACTTCGTATTTCTTTCCAGAAAATCTCCTCATACAGCAGGGAGTCGTTTACATAATATGACAACCCTGCTATACATCTACATGACTGTATATACGTTATAACTATTATGCTATCGGCCTACATGCGATTCCCGGGCTGGTCGACAGGCGGCCCAGCCAGCCTGCTAGTGGGATCTCGGCCTCGCACACAAATCCACACAAAATGTTACTGCACTGAATGCATTCCCCCGATACACTTCGCATATATACTAGTACTCATTCTCTTAATGGTACCGTACTCTTGATGGTACGGGACAGGTACGGGATAGCGCCAGACATGTCAATGGCACAAACAAACAAAAATATTGTGGCCAGCTGTCTTTGCTGGTACGGTACAGTACGGGACAGATACGGGATAGCGCCAGGCGTGACACAAACAAACAAACAAACACCAAATTAAAGCTGTGTGGACCCTGGCTAGCGCCAGACGTTACTGAAGTAACGTCTTCTGCATAGCTACGGGAATAATGTGATACAATTGTATGAATAATGTGATACAATTGATCCATGTCCTCTCAAGTACATACAGCATCACACCAAGATCCTTCAAACCCGTGTAGACGCGCAAAAGTGATACAGACGTAGACCAGTTTAGCCTTTACTTTAGGTCAGCAGTATTTTGTAGTATCGTGCACCACATGCACACCGGAAAGGCAATCTGAAAGAAATGCGGGACTGAAAACGGGAAACTGGCCGCGCTGTTGTGAAAACTCAGCTTGTGCTGTCCGTATGTATGGTGTGAAATAGAAAAAAAGAATACTTTTCCCACACCGGGAATTGAACCCGGGCCGTCTGGGTGAAAACCAGAAATCCTAACCACTAGACCATATGGGAGTCAGTAGTGAAGGCTAGATTTGTCGAAGTTTTGATTGATCGTATTCTCATTATATTCTTCAGACTCCCCCGCCTGCTTTTCACCTGCCTTGAACTAATCTAGTCCTATACATGTACTCGTTTTGGACACCCATGGCATGGACACCAGGGTTTTAGCCAAAGGGGGGTAGGGGGGCGCAGCACCCCCCCTACTCCGTTTGCGCGCCCCCCTGTGAAAAAGTGCCGCCCCCCCCCCCCTACTCATTTTCCGATTTTTGTGTTTTTTCACGCCATTCAACGAAAATACAGTCGATAGTCACTACTAGAGGGTTCAGAAAGGCACATTTGTGAGGGGTGAAGTCGGGGTTCACCCTGTATGTTGCATTTTGCATGGCAAGACAAATTTGGACAATGGAAAGAATGGGTCACGGGGTAACTTTTTCCCATGCCCGCCCCCCTCAGGCGCGTACGCAGGGGGGGTTTCCCGTTGCCCGGAAACCCCCCAAATGTTCCAAACGAGCAACGTTTTTGGGCATTTTTTGGTAGGGCGCATGATCGATCTGGCAAGAATGCAAAACTTCAAAAGATCGTAACTCAGTCAAATCTCGCTCAAATCCTACGATCCAAATATCCAGGTCAAATAGAAAACTCTCAGCTGTCGGTTGAAACAATGTGCGAAGCGCTGCGAGCAATGTATCGTGAGATCAATCATTCGTAAGTTGAGCCGCGATCTCGGCAATTTCAAAAGCGCGCAGTGCGACTTGAGTATCAAGAATTTGAGATTTTCGTCACGCTAATTTGCTCAAATTTGCAGGGGCTTCACTTGTGATATTTTCAAGAGTACGAGGTGATTCGTCATTATTTAACACGAAAGTAAAATAGGCTTCCGTAGGGTTCGAGGTGTGAATCTTTCCATTTCGTCCTCTAAAAATGTAATACTGATGTCTTTGGATTGCAATGTTGGGATTCTCATTCACATATTCCTTGGTGTTGGGAAGCAGGTGGCAGTTGAAAAATGGCAATTTTTCCGCATATTATTTGTTGTGGTCATTTCTTAACATCATGGTAAAATAGGCCTTAGCAGCACAATTTCAAGTCAGTTTTCAATAGAAGGAGACCCTACGTCTCCAGGATGGTCCAGCAAGACTGGATCAAGATCATGTTCATCCAAATACAAGCCATTCAAGCTTACATAGCAACAGGTTTATCACCCTGATTTCATGTGTAATTGTGATCAACATCTGTTAGCAAATTCAGTGATTGCCAATGTTTGGCCATTACTAGGGCCAACACACCGACATTCCTCCTTCCCAGGCGTCGTTTCCAGTATGTAGCTATCATATGCTTCCTATTCAGCTAAATATGTTGTCACTCGAGGTTGAAACCAGCGGCTATGACTCTCTTATACTCTATTTTACCGTAAACATCGCGCACATGCAGACTGAAAGCTCTTGCAATGTCACTTCCTGAAGGAATATCAGTCTCAATTTTGGAGGCGAACTTGACAGAACATTGGCAATGGCAATGGCAAAAAGAAATTTGAAGTGACTTTTTGCAGGTGCTTGCAGTGAGATATTTTACCGATTTGTTAAGAAATAACTCAATATTAAAAAATTACGAATCACCTCGTACACAGCAAAAAAATCGAAACTCTGCGATCAACCCTCTACCGCTATCCTATCGCGCTGGATATGTACATGACTGTACTGTGTTCTGGCTATCATGGTCGACCTCTCCCTGCATGGTACCTTTCCACTTCCAGGAAGCCCAAGATAATGAAGAAGATTGAGTGAGTAGAACTGAAGTAGAACTGAAGAACTGAGTAGAACTGAAGTTATGATCCAAACAACACGAAAAAATGCATAATTTTGAAAATTTCCTAGGGCTCTTTAGAAAGGGTTAAAACTTTTTAAAAAAACTCATTATTTGGGATTAGGTTGGAAACCCCCCTACAGGTGACCCTGCGTACGCGCCTGCCCCTACTATATTGACCTGGCTAGAACCCTGGACACCCTATATTGCTATCCTTCTTCCATCTCTGAACATGATTTTCTCTCTCTCTCTCTCTCTCTCTCTCTCTCTCTCTCTCTCTCTCTCTCCCTCCCTCAATATATCTTGCTTGTTTACATAAGGACAAGGCGTTGGTAATAGTGATGATGACGATGAAGACATCAGTGACTGGTCTAGCGATGGCGAGGATGACGATGCTAAGCCCAGAACTGCAGCTTCACTGAAAGCAAGGTTCGAAAAGATGTCATCGCCTGGGTAAGTGTGTGTGTGTGTGTGTGTGTGTGTGTGTCTGGGGGGTTCACACATAATGTGTTGACCTTGATGTGTACTGGTATGTGCATGCATGTACATATACACATTGTTATATTCTACTTGTTTGACCTTACTGCGCATGGCACTGCCTGCGGTCACCTGTGCTTTGCCAATAGTGGGCCGTGCTTCTATTTGAGAGGGATTTGTATCATTTTAAACGGGCGTGTCCGGGAGGCTATTATCCAAGAGGGGCTTTTTTGGACAGGGGTTTCTAGTCAAGTGAGTACAGTATTATAAAATGTCGCAGTCATCACCACACATTAAGGAACTTACAACGGGTCTCCCAAATTGTTTTCGTCGCCGTCGTTTATGTAAAATATTAGGGAAAAGATAGTGATGCAATCTCAATCATACTTTATAGTTATTGTGTCGCACTGGTGTTGTGTTTGTTATTTGTCCATGCAGTGGTGTCAAGTTACCAGCTGGTGTGCCTAAGAATGCTGTGTCCGTAATGTCCCAAGCAGCCCTAGCCGCATCAGTGACTACCAACACGAATAGCAGCAGTAGTACACTGACAGCTGCTGCTCCCAGTGATACTACTAGTGGGTAAGTGTGAGTGGTGATACTAGTGGGTAAGTGTGAGTGGTGATACTAGTGGGTAAGTGTGAGTGGTGATACTAGTGGGTAAGTGTGAGTGGTGATACTAGTGGGTAAGTGTGAGTGGTGATACTAGTGGGTAAATGTGAGTGGTGATACGCGTGCCACTGCCTATAACGTTATGTGTCTACAATTGTTGTTTATGTAGTAGCCTTGTAAAATTTAATATAGGTCTAGTCGTCTAGATCAAGTATCTGTGTGTTGGCTGTCTGATGTTTGCTGTAGGGGGGGGGGGGGGGGGGCACGAGAAAAAAAACACAGTTCAACCATTATTCACCCATTTTTTCCACTATTGCCTTGTCACACAAAATGCAACGTATGGGTGCAGCAAGCTCCTGCAATATCGATTTGTGGCCCCATTTCCGTTGTGTGAACTGAACAAAATCAAAATAAATGAGTAGGGCGGTGCATTACCAGATTTAGGGGGGGGGGGGCTGCACCCCCACCCCTTTGGCTACAACCCTGCAAAGGACATGCACAAGCTGAAACCGCTCTGTCTGAACAGACGAAAAGGATTCCGGATGGCTGCAGGAAACAACAACAAAAAGTGTAATTGCATAACTACACAGGAGAAGTGACCCCATCCACCGCAAAGAATGCTCAACAATGCTGGCATGCATTGGAGCTAGTACACACAATGGAAGCGGTTGGATCCTCACCAAGGAAACATACCGTTAAGTCGCAGATAAAAGCCGGGTTTGCATACAAGCACATCGCGGATAGAAGCCTGAAAATCAAACGGGTCAAATGCATATAAGCCTGTCGCGCGTAGAAGCCTGGCTTCTATGCAAGCGCGAATCGGGTAGGTCAAGAGTGCATGCGCTATGTACGGTGCATAGTAAAACTGCCGCCATACCGGTAGTCAGTGGTAGATCTACGCGTGTCGCGCGTAGAAGCCTGGCTTCTATGTGCATACAAGCCTGGCTTCTATGTGCATACAAGCCTGGCAAAAATATCTGTGCTGCATGTAAGCATGGTTTGCATACAAGCCTGGCTTGCATTAAAGCCTGATGCAGAAAGCGGCTTATGTGCTTATAAGCCCGGCTTTTATCCGCGACTTCACGGTAACCATTGCTACTCCGAGTTTCATGATCATCATAGTCAACCGTCAGGCACGGGATGGGTGTGTTTCCGAGAGAATAGCCAAGGTCCGTGCGTCTTGTTGGGTCCATAGCTGCGATATCCGGCTCTTTTCCCGAATACCGTAGCACAGTATTGGAGACTTCAAAGGCTACACTGTCAACGCTGCATGGCTTGCCGACCTGGGCCCATGACGCTAGATTGCTGGGGACAAAACTTCACGTAATGCCCTGACTGCCCACATCGGTGGCAAACCCCAGTGCGAAAGTTATTCGCATGAATCTGCATAGGTGGTTGCCTGAATGGCATCAAAGCGCCTTGCGGTGCCTGAATGATTGGGCTTGGCATGCTTGGGCCCCGTGCAGCAACTGCTACCTTCTTTTTCGCCCTCTTGGCTTGAATGGCAGCTTGGAGACGCTTTTTCTTTTTCGAATTTCCCACCAACGCCATTAGCTGGTCGCCTTCCTGGAAGAATGTCGCCACCTGGTGACCATGCGTTTCTGCAATTAGCAACCACTCTTGCCTCTTCCTTAGCAATCTCTCACCTTTTCTTGCTGCTTTTCTTCTCTTTCTCTTCGACTTGGATTTCTATGCGTGAAGTACATCCAGCAGCTCTGAATTCAGCTCAAACTGCATTCAGCTCAAACTGCGTCGCGTAGCTCCTGGACTTCCAGCTCACGGTGTCACTGCTGGTTGACTTCAGGCTCTTCCTCCGTCTTGGGGACCTGGACCTAGATGGTGACGAGGAGGAAGACCGTGATGACTCTGACGACGACGATTGGGAATTTGAGTCTGAAGAGTCCGTCGGCCTTTTCCTCTTCGAGGATCTACCTCGGTTTGTCAACTCTCTGATATTCCGTTCCAACATCCGGATCTTCATTCCCAGCACTTTTCTCTCTGCTTCCAGCTGGGAATGTGGCATACGCTTTATCGGAGACGCCGGAGCCTCCGCCTGGGTTGCACAATGTGGCTGCTTCTCTTTGGCGGTTTCGTATTCCGACGACGAGGTGTTGCCAACTAAATCAGAGTCCGGGAATTCACAAACAGACGAGGCTCTGGCACCTCCTCTCCCACCTCTTCTACCTCTGCCTTTGGCACCTCCTCTCCCACCTCTGCTACCTCTGCCTCTGGCTGCAGCGTTACACCACGTCGCCTCATTTCTGATCATGAACATTTTTTAATTAACTACATGTACTCGGAATTTTCAATCTTCCACTTGGCAAGAAGGAAAACAATGATCAGCAATCCACGCCAGCACCAGTTTCCAGCAAAAACCGTGCCCTCACACCCATCCTCCACCACGTGCCAACAAATCTACAAAGAACACAATTTCTCGTTTATTTCACTGTGTTCAGCCAACGAGAAATGAACATTTCTTTTAGGGGTGAAATGAGTATATTGAATACTCGAGCGCTCGCTCGAAAATTTGAAACGAGCGAGTACTCGTTTTGCAAAATACTCGAAGTATCTTATGTATAGTGTACTGTATGCATATACATCAAGCACTTCTGTTACTCTGACCGGTACTGATAGCCTATGCAAGCACGACATTATTGGTTGTCCCTACTTACCAACAAAAGATAGCAGTTCAGACTATTTCCTGTACTAGGCTGCATGCAAGACCATGTGTATTAGGTGTAGTACGTTCGGTGTTACGAGAGTGTGTGCAGTACATTGTTTTGTGTTGTCAGTAAAATACTCGTACTCGGTCGAATACTCGCTCGTATTTTCAAAGAGTACTCGTGTCCTCAATTTTGGCACATGTTTCACTCCTAGTTTCTTTGGTGAGGATTCAACCCCTTCCCTTGTGTAACTGCATACAGTACTGTCGGTCTCCGAAGAACTGGGGGTCAGCCTCCTAGCCTAGACCGTTCTTATTTTCATGTATTACAGTCTATGCACTGTTGAGTCACCGTGTATACATTGGTATGCTGGGCTTGGTGAAATTCTAGCCTGGCCGTTCTTCGGCGCTCCGTTCTTCGGCGCTCCGTTCTTCGGCGCTCCGTTCTTCGGCGCTCCGTTCTTCGGCGCTCCGTTCTTCGGCGCTCCGTTCTTCGGCGCTCCGTTCTTCGGCGCTCCGTTCTTCGGCGCTCCGTTCTTCGGCGCTCCGTTCTTCGGCGCTCCGTTCTTCGGCGCTCCGTTCTTCGGCGCTCCGTTCTTCGGCGCTCCGTTCTTCGGCGCTCCGTTCTTCGGCGCTCCGTTCTTCGGCGCTCCGTTCTTCGGCGCTCCGTTCTTCGGCGCTCCGTTCTTCGGCGCTACCTGACAGTACTGTAACTACATACTATTGATGATTGAGTATTGCGCTCCCTATCCTCGGTTTGGTTGAGCACTTTTTCTGATGAGCAATCAAAGTTACCTGACCTTGTGCAAAGCTCTCCAGGGGTAAATGACCAGGCCATCATCCTTGCAGGGTTATAGCCAGGTCAAATGGGGGGGGGGGGGGGGGGGGGGCAAGGGAAAATTTATCCCGTAGCGCAATTTTTCCATTTTCCAAAATTGTCTTGCCACCCAAAATGCAACGTACGGGGTGGGGGAACTTCTCCCCAGAGAAGTGTGTCTTTATGAACCCTCCGTTAGTAACAACCAACCGCATTTACAACTGAAAAAAAAACCCACGAAAATCGACAAATAAGTGGGGGGTAGGAGTGCAGTCCCCCCCCCCCCCCCCTTTGGCTACCACCCTACCTTGGAAGCAGACCAGCCAAAGTCCTTGCACTGGCGAAGGATATCATCACAGTGATTGACTGCTGCATGTATGACATGGACATCCACAAACAGCTTCAGGACATGGTTCAACTGGGTGCAAGCACATGCCGTGTGGTCTCCACAGATCATGGCCAGAGTAAGCCATTGGAGGAAACGGACCAGCTGCTATGGAAGAGGGGATTTATCCAACACTTTCTGGATGAGATAGATAAGAAATGACTTTTTGTATGTCTTTCCAGATCTGCTGAAGGAGGCAGTAAGAAACCCCGTCCAGCCGTTAAGCCAAAGCCAGTGGTGGCTGGTTCTCGTCCTGCACACCTACGACAGCAAATATCCAAACTTGAAGAAGAGGTAGTGGAACCACCATCGTCTTTTGAAAAGGTACTCATACCCACACGTTAATTGTCCTACTGCTATGCTGCTGCTGCTGCCGTGTTGTGATTCATGTAATGTTATGATCAGCTGAGGGGTTTGCAGGATGGCTTGCTGTACAACACAACACATGTGTACTGTGGGTTGGTGTGTATAGAGCAAAGCAACTCCATTCAAAATGCAAACCTTTCTCAGTTTGATTGCTAGAATAAATTCCACTTTTATCACGCGCCATGTCCTTATAATGGTATCTTCTCCCACTGTCATCACTGGCATACAGTAATATAGTAAGTGTGTTGATATACATGTCACGTATTCACGCATTCTATCTCTCTCTCTCTGCCCCTCTGTCTCTCTGTTTCTTTATTTATCTCTCTCTCTCTCTCTCTCTCTCTCTCTTTCTCTCTATATCTCTCTCTCTCTCTCTCTCTCTCTCTCTCTCTCTCTCTCTCTTGTCTCTCTCTCTCTCTCTCTCTCTCTCTCTCTCTCTCTCTCTCTCTCTCTCTCTCTCTCTCTCTCTCTCTCTTTCTCTCTATATCTCTCTCTCTCTCTCTCTCTCTCTCGCTCTCTCTCTCTCTCTCTCTCTCTCTCTCTCTCTCTCTCTCTCTCTCTCTCTCTCTCTCTCTCTCTCTCTCTCTCTCTCTCTCTGTTGTGGTAACAGGACCCAATACCAGGATCAATGGTACGTACACTACTTCGCCGAGCACCCGGTCCAACAGGAAGACGATTGCCAACTCGGCGTGGCACGGCTGCCAAGTCAGACTCTCTCTTTGTCATGTAGTGTACCAGAGAGGCTTGAATACTGAAACTGTCAAGTTGGAGGAGCTTTGAGAACTGGAATACAGTATACCGAAATTATCAGTAAGTTGGTGAAATCAAGGACTAGCTGTGCACTCCACTGGTCTGGCATGGTGCTGTTGCTGCTACAGTGTAGTAGTGGCGTACTGCACTGCGCTGGTTAGGCTAACAAGGTGATCCTGCTAGTTGTGTACTGCGCTGGTTAGGCTAACGTGGAGATCCTGCTCAAGACCAGTGCGCTCTTGCTAGCCTCCGTGTTGCTGTTGTTCCCCGTCTTGGAATCAGCTAACAGTTATCAGCTATGCGTGGCGATCATGCGTATCAGCACGGAGTTGTGTGAGAAAAGCAGTGTCATTGGCAGCAGTGTGATACTTGTCCACTGGTTTATTTGAGTGCAGTGTGTGTGGTACTTACATGTGCCGGATCATGGACTATCAGTAACACATCCAGCACCTTGGACAATCAGTTTGTTGTTGGTCAGTTGGTTTGTCATTGTATGTACCGCCAGTCATTATGAAGACTGCTTGCTTTGTTTGCCGTCACTGTGCAATTCACTGTGCACCTTACAGTTCTGCATCTTCTACTTACATTAGATACATGTAGGTGCTTGTGTGTCATATCTACTAGATGTTCTGATTTTGTCAAGTGATTCTTGCCCCCCTCCGCCCCCCCCCCCCTTTGCTTCCAGAATATTATTATTTTTTACAAAATATAACTGTTGCGCCGTAGGTAGTATGTGCTGCAACAGTACGTCTATTTTATTAGGATTTGGAAAGTCTTGAATTATCGTTTCATAGCCCCGTTCCTGAAGATCGTTGACATTGTGGAATTACTCCCCTTTTTTAAGCATTTTCCTTCTACTCTGATTACTGCATTTTGGTGAATGGTGTGCATATCAATATTATGCTGTTTGCATAGTGCACGGTTATTCCATCACACACTACATGATAGATGTATGGACTGTGAATAGCCGTAGCAGCATGCACTAATGTGCCTGCTGCTGCACCCTAGCATCCTGCACACTGTGGTAGCACTCAAGACCGTGAATGTCATTCTGCTATTAATACACCAGTATGTACACACACGCGCACATAACATCGTGCTGTTCATCAACCGTTGTCTTTGTCATAATTATTCCAATGGTATGCAGCTGCACTCAGTCTTTCACTTACTTCTCATTGTTATGTAGACCGCCCTTTCCCTAGTTATGCTTTTATCTCCTTTCAAGTCAATCATTATAATAATTATGTATGGCTACTTTTTTACACCGTTGATGCAGATCATGATTTTGAATTCAGTGACATTTCAGTCTCTTGAATACTCGTATGCCGTGCGCCCAGGAGTGCTGGTTACCTTGGCAACAATCACTTACTGTGCTGTACTTGTGTGGTAATGTGTGCTAGCAGTCTATGCTGTGTATTCTGAAGGTGACTTGTCGCGGGCGAGAGAGAGAGAGAGAGAGAGAGAGAGAGAGAGAGAGAGAGAGAGAGAGAGAGAGAGAGAGAGAGAGAGAGAGAGAGAGAGAGAGAAGAGAGAGAGAGAAAGAGAGAGAGGGGGGCGTAACTACAGATGGTATCAACTATCATTGATCTATGTGTTGAGGATTGGGCCAGTAAAATGTTATAAGGCCACACGTTTTTATTTCTATGATTCGCCTCACCCGCGCGCGCGCATAATTATGATTCAAGGAGGTCGAGTCCGGAAGAAAAAAAATGAAAACTGTGCTGCACTGTGGTTACCAGTCATTCACATGCGCAACCTGGACTGCTAGCTCAACACATGATGCGAGGTTGCTAGCGATGCACTTCTGTATTTTGTTGTTGCACACTCTACAAATTGTAGCTGCTGGTGCACAGAAGCTCCTACCACGAGTACTAATAAGTAATAGCTAGCTACATAATTATACATGTAGTTGCTATACTAACTTTGGATGCTATTTTTACACGGTGTATTGGTCGATTTTAGAGAATTAATTTTAGCATGATTAGGTCTACAGTAAACTTTAAATATTATTATTAGACGCGACATTCCAACAGTCAGCAATCGGCTATCAAGAGTCATCTGTCCGTTAGTGATAGTTGTCGTGAGTTGTACAGAGATGATGTGTTTTCTCAGTTTTGGCCCGTGGCAGATCTGTATTACATTTGTCTGTTTTGGAAGCGTTATATATCCGTAAGTTGTCCCCTGAATTATGTGTTCAGAAGGAAAATGTTTTGTCGCTGCAGTTGTTTGGCGCTAATCCTCGTGAAAGTGTCAGGAGTGTTTCTCCTCACGGATGTTTTCATTATGTTTTAGTCGTCTATTCACCTTCACCCTGTGTTTCACCTGTTCTGCTGAATTTAATTTTTTCCACACGTACGTATATCGTGAGGTTCTCGATCTTTGATTTTTGCTGTACCGGTAGCTCTATAAATTGCTGTATTTTGACATTTTTCCATTATTCCCTGTACTTACCCAAGCGAAAACGTTCGGTTACCAAAATTAAGAATTAATTGACTTACTTGACTGTGTGGATTGCGTCGGTGCTGTCACCTTTTCTCATTATTATTACTACAATAGTCAACTTTTTTTATATTTTTTGGTCATTTTTTCCACCTCTCGCATACGATTAATTTTTAGATTATCGATCGGGTGACGAAAAACAAAGAAATAAAAACGCTTGGCCTAATGGGGCGCTAATGATTTCCATTTTGCAAGGCATGTCATGTCGGTGTGTGATTTGTCCTAGGCTCTGCTTTGGCAGTGGCAGCACTTTCACGTCAGTGCATGCAGTGTTACATCAGTAGATCTACGCAGTTTTTTTCATATTTTTTTATTATCACCTCAGGAATGCCACGTATACTGCTCTTTTGTCTCCGAAACTTTGAAAATTCTCCGTGAAGTCCAAATTTGAAACATCAGGAATGATGCTCATTATTCTATAGCGCTGTGTGGTGCAGAAACAACGGTTTGTTGTTGCTGTGTTGTATGTTCTGGAACAGGTTCTCTTCAACGTCACGAGTCTATCAAAAGTTGTCGCCTTTGGCATTTGCTTTTTACCTACTAGTATGTACCAGCCTACAACTTACTTAGTACAAGTACTTGCAAGCAGTAGTAGCGATTGCTATGTAGACCGAGTCAGCGGTCAGCGGTTGGTGTTCGCTATTCAGGACTTGGCTGCGGAAAAAGATTTGGTTGGAAGGAGCTACTGGTAGCTAAAATTTACATGCAAGCGAAGCGTCAGCATGTCGGGAACAAAGGTACGCTAGTCGCTAGACCGGCTATGTAAAGTTAGCAGTTATGTTACCTGTACTACAACTAAGTATAGCAACGAAGTCAAGACGCTTGCAACGAGCTTGAAACGGCAACGTCGTTACACGTAGCAGGTCAACACAGTATGTCTTTGGAAGACGGAGTTCAACTTCGGTCAAGAAGTCCAGCAGCCACCAAGCGAACTGGCATGGCTAGCAGTGGCCTCTGACATAACGTCGAAAGTTCGGTCTTCGGACCTGTCCATCGTGTCACATCGTTTGTGACTTCTGTGGCTATCCGTACACCGACCGACCTGCAGTGCAGACTGGATATGAGTGCGTTTGCATACCATGCCTTCGTTATTATTATCATTTTTTTTTGTAAACTGTCACCAATATCGACACGGACACGAAGCTGGCGAGCGACAGAATATGGATAAGTGCAAAACGTACCATTCTCACGCTATCCATTAGCCGACTGCGGCGTGCAGACCCTCATCCGGAGTCATTGCTGTTCGTTCAGTAGCCACTCAGTGGCACGGCAGAGAAAGCCACGAGCGATGCGGATGGCGTAGCAAGTAAGTAAGTCGGTGTTAGTGAAATGAAAAATATTATAATTTTTACATCAGTGCACTCTGGCATCTATGTGCTTGTACATTGTTGTCTGGGTACACGATGTAGCTGACTTTGCCGCTGCTATGGTGTTGAATACGATCCGATATCCGCAATAAGAGTATGTCTCTTGACCCAAGCAGCCCAGTACATGTACTAGTTGGGAGATAGTGGTGAGAAATGTACTAGTGTATCGTGGACATGGAAATCCAGTGTGAGGTCAAGCGGCCCCTGTCATGGTGCTGGCTGGCCATACAGCCATGAGTACGCATACGATCAACATGATTGTGCACTGTGCATGCAACGTTCTGTATGCACTAAGGAGTATGGACGCTGGCCCAGCGGTCATTCAACTGGATTTCCATGTCCACAACAGACTACTTATATTATGTTCATTGGTTGAGGGGAAAGATGCAAACGGGTAGTTACCATGGTTACATGTAGCTGCAAGGGTACATACTCCCCAAGAATGTTTAACTCCAGCTATGGGGTCTGCGAGTCCGCGGTGGCAGAACTTCATATCACGTGACAAACTTGCACACATTGTTTGCACCCCGTGCATGATAGATACAGGTTTGTACGCAACCCTGCTCTGGGTTCAACTCTCTTATGGTCGTTTGTGCACTGTTTGCCAGTGTAGCCTTTTAAACCATGTCACGTGATGTGAAGTTTTGCCGTCGCAGTACTGTATAGAAGTTATGCAGGCAGTTGTACACTCTTGAGGGTTATGTACTCTTGCATGTAGTTATGGTACTTTGGTAATATAGTGTGCTTGCAAGTACTTACATCCGTGCACACAGATAGGTTGAGCCTGATTTCTCTGTGCTGCGCTGATGAGTCCACAAAGGACGGAACAGTTCTGTACGTAGTTTGAGTACATGAACACGGCAATACCGGCTGATGCAAGCCCAAATGGTACAGCCGCGAGGGTGCATTGAAGCCAGCATTGCCCGTGCGTGTACTCCCAGGCGGCTATGCAGCCATGCGCATGAACAAGGTTGCTGTCACTGTCCTGCACTTGCAGCTACAGCCACGTAGAGTCTAAAGTAGACGCTCTGGAAGCGGTGGTGTATGGTCGGGGATAGCTCCCAAGCTGGTAACTTTAGTTCATGTCGCTCTGATCTGCAAGTGGTTCTGCATCCAGTAGCTATGGCACCTAACATTCCGCTTTGAGCACAAGCACTGTCTCAGTGAGCAGTGTCCACTGTACAGCAAAACACAGCCCACACGTACGCACTCATGGTTGACTGTTCCCATGACAACGGGGACCATGGTGACATGCAATACAAAGTATTTCTAGTGGATTGTTCCCTGTCTGGAATCCGAGCTGTGTGCAGTCACGAGTCGGGGCATGTTTCGTACAATACGGTACAGATATTCTGTAAACCTTGCTGGTTAGATAAACTTTTACAGAAGAAGTGCTGTTTTTTCTGTTCTAAGTTGTTCTCTAGCATGCATGGACTGTGGAAATGATGTTCTTATGGGGGATGCTTATGCATTTTCTTGTACTTATGGCCACTTGAAAGTACGAAAAACGCAATTTTTGTGCACCCTCTACTCTCCTTTGGTTACCGCCCTACCTTGGAAGCAGACCAGCCAAAGTCCTTGCACTGGTGAAGGATATCATCACAGTAATTGACTGCTGCATGTATGACATGGACATCCACAAACAGCTTCAGGACATGGTTCAACCGGGTGCAAGCACATGCCGTGTGGTCTCCACAGATCATGGCCAGAGTAAGCCATTGGAGGAAACGGACCAGCTGGTATGGAAGAGGGGATTTATCCAACACTTTCTGGATGAGATGGATAAGGAATGACTTTTTGTTTGTCTTTCCAGATCTGCTGAAGGAGGCAGTAAGAAACCCCGTCCAGCCGTTAAGCCAAAGCCAGTGGCTGGTTCTCGTCCTGCACACCTACGACAGCAAATATCCAAACCTGAAGAAGAGGTAGTGGAACCACCGTCGTCTTTTGAAAAGGTACTCATACCCAGACATTGATTGTGATTGTGCTACTGCTATCCTGCTGCTGCCGTGTTGTGATTCATGTATGATCAGCTGAGGGGTTTGCAGGATGGCATGCTGTACAACACAACACATGTGTACTGTATGTTGCAGTGTCTGCTCTAGGATTGTAGGACAGCCGGGTACACGTGTACCTGGCGCAACCATTTCAACCGGGTCGGAGCCGGGTACACATGTACGTGGCGTGGCGCTGTCGCACCAGCTGAGTCACATGCTTTAACTGGATGGTTGGTTTGATTTTAATTCGGACAATAAACGGGAACTAGGCCCAATGGTATAAAGGCGAATGGATAAGCCGCATTTAGAAAAGAGAGGACAGGAATTAGAAAATTATGGAAGAAGAAGAAGTATCTGACACATACAAGCCATGTAGTCAGTCCTTTCAAAGTTCGAAAGTGTAAAGTACCAACCTGGTCACAGGTGACCCGGTACTATATTTTCAACCGGGTCCAAGCGCCGCCCAACCGGTTGGGTTACCCGGCTCACCCGGCGCTGGAGCAGACACTGGGTTTGTGTATGTAGAGCCAAGCTACTCCATTCATCATGCAAACCTTTCTCGGTTTCATTGCTAGAAAAAATTCCGCTTTTATCACACGCCATGTCCTTAGTATGGTATCTTCTCCCACTGTCATCACTGGCATACAAAAATATAGTAAGTTTGTTGATATACATGTCACATATTCACGCATTCTGTCTCTCTGTCTCTCTCTCTCTCTCTCTCTCTCTCTCTCTCCCTCTCCCACTCTCTCTCTCTCACTCTCTCTCTCTATCTATCCATCTGTCTGTTATGGTAACAGGACCCAATACCAGGATTAATGGTACATACTCTACTTCGTCGAGCACCCGGTTCGACAGGAAGACGCTTGCCAACTCGGCGTAGCACGGCTGCCAAGTCAGACTCTCTCTTTGTCATGTAATGTATCAGAGAGGCTGAAACACTGAAACTGTCAAGTTGGAGGAGCTTTGAGAACTGCAATAGAGTATACCGAAATTATCAGTAAGTTGGTGAAATCAAGGACTAGCTGTGCACTACACTGGTCTGGCATGGTGCTGTTGCTGCTACAGTGTAGTAGTGGTGTACTGCGCTGCACTGGTTAGGCTAACGAGGTGATCCTGCTAGTTGTGTATTGCACTGCGCTGGTTAGGCTAACGTGGAGATCCTGCTCAAGACCGGGGCGCTCTTGCTAGCCTCCATGTTGCTGTTGTTCCCGGTCTTGGAATCAGCTAACAGTTATCAGCTATGCGTGGTACTTGTGTGTCATATCTACTAGATGTTCTGATTTTGGCAAGTGATTCTTTCCCCGCCCCCGCAGCCCCTTTTGCTTTCAGAATATTATTAATTCTTACAAAATAAAACTGTTGTGCCGTAGGTAGTATCAGGGGCGGATCCAGGGGGTGCGAAGGGTGCAAATGAACCCGTCAGGATTTTCCAAAAAAAAAAAAAAAAAAAGCCAGGCCAGGCCCAGGCTCGCTGCGCGGATCCGCGGATGATTTGTGTGCAATCACGTGATCGTTCTGGACACGTGCTCGCGCCAGGGCTGCACATTTGGAATAGAACTTTTTTGGAACTAACTGTTACTTTTTCACCGGCAACAAAGGCACTTCGAAGTTCTTTACTTTTGACGTTGCATGTTTCAGTTGTCGTGTTAGCTTCAGGGAGTCGTCATATACCGGTATTTGACGACTCCCTGATTAGCTTCTTTCAAATTCTCACTGCTTGTTCCGACTCCGTTTCCGTGCATGCTGAGCGGAGATGTCGGACACAGCTGGTGGACCAGCTGGTGAGACCATCGAGCCTGCTGCTAAGCGTCGTTGTTAGAGCCCGGCATCATCCTTTTGACATTGGGCGATTTGCTGGATTGATGGAGAATGCCAGCAATGATGACATCAAGTCGCTCCTAGATAATGTTTGGAAGCCTTCGAACCGAACACACATAACATACTATGTCTTTGGTTTACTATTGCAAAAAAAAATATGTAAGTTTCATCCTCGCACCCCTCAGCTTTGGGGTCTGGATCCGCCCCTGAGTATGTGCTGCAACAGTACGTCTATTATATTACGATTTGGAAAGTCTTGAATTATCGTTTCATAGCCCCATTCCTGAAGATCGTTGAATGACATTGTGGAATTACTCCCCTCTTTTAATCAATTTCCTTCTCAGAGTGACTCTGATTCCTGCATTTTGGTGAATGGTGTGCATATCAATATTGTGCTGTTTGCATAGTGCACGGTTATTCCATCACACCCTACATGATAGATGTATGGACTGGCAATAGCCGTAGCAGCGTGCACTAATGTGCCTGCTGCTGCACCCTAGCATCCTGCACACTGTGGTAGCACTCAAGACCGTGAATGTCATTCTGCTATTAATAAACCAGTATGTACACGCACGTGGAAATGACATCGTGCTGTTGATCCACCGTTGTCTTTGTCATATTCCAGTGGTATGCAGCTGCACTCAGTCTTTCACTTACTTCTCATTGTTATGTAGACCGCCCTTTCCCTAGTTATGCTTTTATCTCCTTTCAAGTCAATCATAATAATTATGTATGGATACTTTTTTACACCGTTGATGCAGATCATGATTTTGAATTCAGTGACATTTCAGTCTCTTGAATACTCGTATGCTGTGCGCCCAGGAGTGCTGGATACCTTGGCAACAATCACTTACTGTGCTGTACTTGTGTGGTAATGTGTGCTAGCAGTCTATGCTGTGTATTCTGAAGGTGACTTGTCGCGGGCGAGAGAGAGAGAGAGAGAGAGAGAGAGAGAGAGAGAGAGAGAGAGAGAGAGAGAGAGAGAGAGAGAGAGAGAGAATGGGGGGGGGGGGGGGGGGTCGCGTAACTACAGATGGTATCAACTATCATTGATCTATGTGTTGAGGATTGGGCCAGTAAAATGTTATAAGGCCACTCGTTTTTATTTTTATGATTCGCCTCACCCGCGCGCATATGAATATTAATTATTCAAGGAGGTTGAGTCCGGAAGAAAAAAAAATGAAAACTGTGCTGCACTGTGGTTACCAGTCATTCACATGTGCAACCTGGACTGCTAGCTCAACACATGATGCGAGGTCGCTAGCGATGCACTTCTGTATTTTGTTGTTGCACACTCTACAAATTGTAGCTGCTGGTGCACAGAAGCTCCTACCACGAGTACTAATAAGTAATAGCTAGCTACATAATTATACATGTAGTTGCTATACTAACTTTGGATGCTATTTCACACGGTGTATTGGTCGATTTTAGAGAATTAATTTTAGCATGATTAGGTCTACAGTAAACTTTAAATATTATTATTAGACGCGACATTCCAACAGTCAGCATTTGGCTATCAAGAGTCATCTGTCCGTTAGTGATAGTTGTCGTGAGTTGTACAGAGATGATGTGTTTTCTCAGTTTTGGCCCGTGGCAGATCTGTATTACATTTGTCTGTTTTGGAAGCGTTATATATCCGTAAGTTGTCCCCTGAACTATGTGTTCAGAAGGAAAATGTTTTGTCGCTGCAGTTGTTTGGCGCTAATCCTCGTGAAAGTGTCAGGAGTGCTTCTCGTCACTGATGTTTTCATTATGTTTTAGTCGTTTCTTCACCTTCACCCTGTGTTTCACCTGTTCTGCTGAATTTAATTATTCTTTTCCACACGTACATGTATATCGTGAGGTTTTCGATCTTTGATTTTTGCTGTACCGGTAGCTATATAAATTGCTGTATTTTGACATTTTTCCATTATTCCCTGTACTTACCCAAGCGAAAACGTTCGGTTACCAAAATTAAGAATTAATTGACTTACTTGACTGTGTGGATTGCGTCGGTGCTGTCACCTTTTCTCATTATTATTACTACTACTAGTACTAGTCAACTTTTTTTTATATTTTTTGGTCATTTTTTCCACCTCTCGCATACGATTAATTTTTAGATTATCGATCGGGTGACGAAAAACATAGAAATAGAAACGCTTGGCCTAATGGGGCGCTAATGACTTCCATTTTGCAAGGCATATCATGTCAGTGTGTGATTTGTCCTAGCCTCTGCTTTGGCAGTGGCAGCACTGCACGTCAGTGCATGCATGCAGTGTTACATCAGTACGCAGTTTTTTTAAATATATTTTTTATTATCACCTCAGGAATGCCACGTACTGCTCTTTTCTCTCCGAAACTGTGAAATTCTCCGTGAAGTCCAAATTTGAAACATCAGGAATGATGCTCACTATAGCGCTGTGTGGTGCAGAAACAACGGTTTGTTGTTGCTGTGTTGTATGTTCTGGAACAGGTTCTCTTCAACGTCACGAGTCTATCAAAAGTTGTCGCCTTTGGCATTTGCTTTTTACCTACTAGTATGTACCAGCCTACAAGTACTTGCAAGCAGTAGAAGCGATTGCTATGTAGACCGAGCCAGCGGTCAGCGGTTGGTGTTCGCTATTCAGGACTTGGCTGCGGAAAAAGATTTGGTTGGAAGGAGCTACTGGTAGCTAAAATGTACATGCAAGCGAAGCGTCAGCATGTCGGGAACAAAGGTACGATAGTCGCTAGACCGGCTATGTAAAGTTAGCAGTTATGTCCTGTACTACAACTAAGTATAGCAACGAAGTCAAGACGCTTGCAACGAGCTTGAAACGGCAACGTCGTTACACGTAGCAGGTCAACACAGTATGTCTTTGGAAGACGAAGTTCAACTTCGGCCAAGAAGTCCAGCAGCCACCAAGCGAACTGGCATGGCTAGCAGTGGCCTCTGACATAACGTCGAAAGTTCGGTCTTCGGACCTGTCCATCGTGTCACATCGTTTGTGACTTCTGTGGCTATCCGTACACCGACCGACCTGCAGTGCAGACTGGATATGAGTGCGTTTGCATACCATGCCTTCGTTATTATTATCATTTTTTTGTAAACTGTCACCAATATCGAGACGGACACAAGGCTTGCGATCGACAGAATATGGACAAGTGCAAGACGTACTGTTCTCACGCTATCCATTAGCCGACTGCGGCGTGCAGACCCTCGTCCGGAGTCATTGCTGTTCGTTCAGGAGTCACTCAGTGGCACGGCAGAGAAAGCCACGAGCGATGCGGATGGCGTAGCAAGTAAGTAGGTCGGTGTTAGTGAAATGAAAAAAATAATATTATATTTTTACATCAGTGCACTCTGGCATCTATGTGCTTGTACATTGTTGTCTGGGTACACGATGTAGCTGACTTTGCCGCTGCTATGGTGTTGAATACGATCCGATATCCGCAATAAGTATGTCTCTTGACTCACTAGCAGCCCAGTATATGTACTAGTTGGGAGATAGTGGTGAGAAATGTACTAGTGTATGGTGGACATGGAAATCCAGTGTGAGGTCAAGCGGCCCCTGTCACGGTGCTGGCTGGCCATGCAGCCATGAGTACGCATACGATCAACATGATTGTGCACTGTGTATGCAACGTTCTGTATGCACTAAGGAGTATGGACGCTGGCCCAGCGGTTATTCAACTGGATTTCCATGTCCACAACAGACTACCGTAAAAGTCCGTAAATAAGTACCTGCCCGAAAGAAATACCCCGTTCACTCTTTTGGCTCTGTCTGTTGAAGTCAAGTCAAGCCCGATAAACATACCGCCCGAAATAAGTACCGGTACAATTCGCACATGCAGCACGTAGCATGTACATCGACATGAAAACGACTTCTCCACTACACACAAGTCAGGTCCGCAAGTTAGTTCGTGCCCGAAAGTCAGTACCCGCCCGAAAGTTAGTACGGGTGTGGTCACTAAATTCGAAAGTAAATACGTACTTATTTACGGACTTTTACGGTACTTATTATTATGTTCATTGGTTGAGGGGAAAGATGCAAACGGGTAGTTGCCATGGTTACATGTAGCTGCAAGGGTACATACTCCCCAAGAATGTTTAACTCCAGCTATGGGGTCTGTGACTCCGCGGCGGCAGAACTTCATATCACGTGACGAACTTGCACACATTGTTTGCACCTCGTGCATGATAGATACAGGTTTGTACGCAACCTTGCTCTGGGTTCAACTGTCTTATGGTCGTTTGTGCACTGTTTGCCTGTGTAGCCTTTTAAACCATGTCACGTGATGTGAAGTTTTGCCGTCGCAGTACTGTATAGAAGTTATGCAGGCAGTTGTACACTCTTGGGGTTATGTACTCTTGCATGTAGTTATGGTACTTTGGTAATATAGTGTGCTGGCAAGTACTTACATCCATGCACACAGGTAGGTTGAGCCTGATTTCTGTGTGCTGCGCTGATGAGTCCACAAAGGACGGAACAGTTCTGTACGTAGTTTGAGTACATGAACACGGCAATACCGGCTGATGCAAGCCCGAATGGTGCAGCCGCGAGGGTGCATTGAAGCCAGTATTGCCCGTGTGTGTACTCCCAGGCGGCTATGCAGCCATGCGCATGAACAAGGTTGCTGTCACTGTCCTGCACTTCCAGCTACAGCCACGCAGAGTCTAAAGTAGACGCTCTGGAAGCGGTGGTGTATGGTCGGGGATGGCTCCCAAGCTGGTACTTTCAGTTCATGTCGCTCTGATCTGCAAGTGGTTCTGCATCCAGTAGCTATGGCACCTAACATTCTGCTTTGAGCACAAGCACTGTCTCAGTGAGCAGTGTCCGCTGTACAGCAAAACACAGCCCACACGTACGCACTCATGGTTGACTGTTCCCATGACAACGGGGACCATTGTGACATGCAATACAAAGTATTTACAGTCGTACCTCTCTAATCCGGCACCTTTTGCTACGGCGTTTTCTGCTGGATTAACGAGGGTGCTGGATTAAGAAATCCTGCCCTCTGACCCGGCCCTACCCAATTGCATGCATGTATCATACGTCAAAACGCAGGGTATTTCCGTGTCGACCCAAGTATTTGGTGCACGGCTTTATATTCTCAACTGTTCTCCAGGAATATACATAGTGATAAAGTAAAACAGAGAACATGTTCACATGTACTCTTGCACACACACGCACCTGAAAATTGGCAGGACACTACTATTGAGTTAGGGTTCGGAAAATTCCTAACAACCAACCGAACTGAACTCTCCCGCGCGAGGTAGAGTACAGTTGTCAACTGAACTGAACTCTGAAGTGGCCCCGCGCGCGCGCAGCACTGACCAGACTGGCCTCGCAAGGAGTGCACCTGTACGGTACGCAATTTACGACTGCCGGATTATGAAATCAAACTACGTGCAGTTTGAGCGATTCGTTTAAAAAAGTCACTGCCGGAGGCGGAATTCAAGTGCTGGATTAAGATGTAGGAATTGAACGAAAAAAATCGGTTTCGTCAGAAAGTGCGCCGGTTGGCAAGGGTTCCGGATAAACAAGTGCCGGATTAGAGAGGGACGACTGTAAAGTCAATTGTTCCCTGTCTGGAATCCGAGCTGTGTGCAGTCACGAGTCGGGGCATGTTTCGTACAATACGATACAGATATTCTGTAAACCTTGCTGGTTAGATAAACTTTTACAGAAGAAGTGCTGTTTTCTCTGTTCTAAGTTGTTCTCTAGCATGCATGGACTGTGGAAATGATGTTCTTATGGGGGATGCTTATGCATTTTTTTGTACTTATGGCCACTTGAAAGTACGAAAAACGCAATTTTAGTGCACCCTCTACTCTCCTTTGGCTACCACCCTACCTTGGAAGCAGACCAGCAAAAGTCCTTGCACTGGTGAAGGATATCATCACAGTAATTGACAGCTGCATGTATGACATGGACATCCACAAACAGCTTCAGGACATGGTTCAACCGGGCAAGCAGATGCCGTGTGGTCTCCACAGATCATGGCCAGAGTAAGCCATTGGAGGAAACGGACCAGCTGGTATGGAAGAGGGGATTTATCCAACACTTTCTGGATGGGATTGTTACGGAATCTCAGCCATTCCGTTCCCCGGGACGCAGGACACAAAGGACAAGACTGGTTTGTTTTACATAATATATTATATATATTATTTGAACATTACGGAAAGGTAGACTACTCTGACAGAGACGAACAAGAAGACTGACAAAAGGACTCTCGACTACAAAATCGCGCATGCTCATATCACACATGCACGCGACTAGACGAGACAGTTTGGGGAATGCCATCACACAGGAAAACAACACATCATTTCACAACACCTGCCCCCTTGATGACATTCCACAAAATAATAAACCGACACCACGTTCCACATGCACAACAACAAAAGGAACCACAGCAGAACAGAAAAACGAAAACTTTAGAGCCGACGCTCTAAAATAATATCCGGGCCACGAAACAGGGCCAAACAAAAACCTAGAGCCGACGCTCTACAACCAGGCCACGCCACACAAGCCACACAAGGCCAACAGCCACACAAGGCCAACAAAATAATAACATGCGCACAGCCGCACCAAATAAATCTACAACAAAAACAATGGAGAACAACAGAACGAATAGAAGAGCAACAGACCGACAACAACCAAACTGAAACAACACAGCAACAAGCAACGAACTGAACAGAGAGAGAACAACACAGCGAGCAAGACAACAAGACGAACAACAAGGACGACACACAGTCGGTGACGCCAGACTCGTCCACTGTCCTCTGGCGAGCCACGGCCACACGCTCCGTCGCGGTTCCTGCCGTCTCAGGCTCCAGTCCACAGTGACTGTTCTAGTCCATCACCTTCTCTGCCTCCTCTCCGCGTCGTCTTCCGCTTCCACCAGCTCTTCACCTCCTCCGCTCCCACGCTCTGTTTACTTCAAAGTAACAGTTACATAGTTGTTGACGACGACGAACAGACTCACTACAAACTAACTCATCCTCTGCGTCCCGGGTTTCGGCACCACGCTGTAACGGAATCACAGCCATTCCGTTCCCCGGGACGCAGGACACAAAGGACAAGACTAGTTTGGTTTACATAATTATTATTGACATTACGGAAATGGAGACAACACTCAAAGGGACGAGCAAGAAGACTGACAAAAGGACTCTCGACTACAAAATCGCGCATGCTCATATCACACATGCACGCGACTAGACGAGACAGTTTGGGGAATGCCATCACACAGGAAAACAACACATCATTTCACAACAGGATAGATAAGAAATGACTTTTTGTTTGTCTTTCCAGATCTGCTGAATGAGGCAGTAAGAAACCCCGTCCAGCAATTAAGCCAAAGCCAGTGGTGGCTGGTTCTCGTCCTGCACACCTACGACAGCAAATATCCAAACTTGGAGAAGAGGTAGTGTAACCACCGTCGTCTTTTGAAAAGGTACTCATACCCAGACATTGATTGTGATTGTGCTACTGCTATCCTGCTGCTGCCGTGTTGTGATTCATGTATGATCAGCTGAGGGGTTTGCAGCATGGCATGCTGTACAACACAACACATGTGTACTGTGGGTTGCAGTGTCTGCTCTAGGATTGTAGGACAGCCGGGTACACGTGTACCTGGCGCAACCATTTCAACCGGGTCGGACCCGGGTACACATGTACGTGGCGTGGCGCTGTCTCATCAGCTGAGTCACATGCCTCAACTGGTTGGTTGGTTTATTTTAATTCAGACAATAAACGGGAACTAGGCCCAATGGTATACAGGCGAATGGATAAGCCGCATTTAGAAAAGAGAGGACAGGAATTAGAAATTTACGAAAGAAGAAGAAGTATCTGACACATACAAGCCATGTAGTCAGTCCTTTAAAAGTTCGAAAGTGTAAAGTACCAACCTGGTCACAGGTGACCCGGTACTATATTTTCCACCGGGTCCAAGCACCGCCCAACCGGGTGGGTTACCCGGCTCACCCGGCGCTCAGCAGACACTGGGTTTGTGTATGTAGAGCCAAGCTACTCCATTCATCATGCAAACCTTTCTCGGTTTCATTGCTAAAATACAATCCACGTTTATCATGCGCCATGTCCTTATAATGGTATCTTCTCCCACTGTCATCACTGGCATACAGTAATGTAGTAAGTTTGTTGATATACATGTCATGTATTCACGCATTCTGTCTCTCTGTCT